CACCCAAAAAAAAAAGTAACTCCTGTCCCCAAAACTAAAAACCACATGCCCCCAATTATAATTGATGGCAAAACCACAAGCCAGAACTCCCCTACCACACATACTCGAATAGGGATGAAAAGACGCATGCCGTCGTCCTAAGGGGGCTAGCCAATGGCACCAAAATCGAAGACATCGATGAAGATTTAACCGAAGAATATGATATAAAATCCAGATCCATCTTTAGAATGAATACGAAAAACAGACCGCTGTTCCTGGTCATAACTGACCCATCCCTGACACTGGACTATCTAAACAAAACCGTACGAAGAGTAGCATCTACAAGGCGTTCCTAGAAGCAAGTCTACGAGGTTGTCGCTTTCTCTTAAGGCTGTCATGGTACCGAAAAATTTAGGAATTAGGCTTAGCTACAGAGTACCAAAAAAAAGGGGAGAGTGAAACAGAAATATCAAAGTTTTAACCTTTGTTTTTGGATTACCATTTCTTCATCCTGAAGATGTAGGCGACATTTTCACAACTGATTTAACACAAATTAAGTCTGTCAATGAAAAAGTTACCCACAGAGAACCACCAATTGTTGTGATTCTTTTGATTCGAAATATAATGCTTTTTTTACGCCGCTTACCTTAATGTGAATGTTTTTATAAATGTGATAACTCAATTTCAAATTAACACATATAAAAATTAATAGTGTTCTAATCCCAAAAAACTTGACGTTCAAAGTTTAAGGAGAAGATTTCTCGAAGGCTTGCTGAGTGATTTAAATCAGCATAAAATAAGTAAATTAGACTTTATTAAAATAATTTCGTATAAATTTAGAGGTAAGTTTTAATTATATTTTACAGTTATAATAAACATTTAAATATGTAGTTGTTGTGATTCTTTTGATTCGAAATATAATGCTTTTTTTACGCCGCTTACCTTAATGTGAATGTTTTTATAAATGTGATACCTAACTCAATTTCAAATTAACACATATATAAAAATTAATAGTGTTCTAATCCCAAAAAACTTGACGTTCAAAGTTTAAGGAGAAGAAGATTTCTCGAAGACTTGCTGAGTGATTTAAATCAGCATAAAATAAGTAAATTAGACTTTATTAAAATAATTTCGTATAAATTTAGAGGTAAGTTTTAATTATATTTTACAGTTATAATAAACATTTAAATATGTAGTTGTTGTTGAATTATTACCCATTATTCAATTTACAAAATACCTAAATTAATTAATAAAATAACAGAAGTTACTAAAAAGAATCAATATTCTTAAAACCTTACTGACTAAAGAGAACATTTTGTAGAATTTTTATTAAACAACCCAATTACAGTTAAATTTGCTTAGCCTACGATAAGTGACCCTTACCTTATGGGGATGCAATTTCGAATCAGTTAGGAAACTCTTTTTTTGGAATGCAGTTGTGTAAAAGCCAGTCTAACAATCAATCAGTCTTTTATATAATTGATAATATTTCTTAATTTGAGTATTTCGAAAAAAATCTGTGGTTTTCTTCTACAGCTGGAATACAAATTCAAGAAGCCAAATAAAAATAAAATTTTAAAATTAGCTTCTAAGGGGAGCTGAAATGGAAAATATGTCCTATGTAGGTATTTAGTAGAAGTTTATTTTTTATTTTTGAGTAGAATTATCAGTAATTTCGCTACCGTTTGCTTATACTTTTTTTTTAAATTACTACGTTCTAGAAATGTACGTCAAATCGAAAATATTTGTCAAAAAACGCCACACATCTAATTCGTAGAAAATAAATATTCTTACACACTATTTTTCGGCGATTTTTCTAATAATAAAAACAAATTAATTTTAGTAATTTTTCGATGAATAATTAAATTTAATAGGAACTTTCAATTGAATTCCAATAAACGATATAAAGTATAAAAAAAATAATAATTTTCCACGAATAAAATCACATACAATACTTTTTCTACCGAATTTTCGAGTCGACGCACACCTAAAACTCATAATTTTTAACGTACTTCGTTGCATAAATACAATATAAAGTTCATCACAATAATCGCAGTTCATATAGTGAACACTATAAGCGTGAATTTATAACATAATATATTCTTGTTGTTATTAACACGAACAATTTAAATTTTTTGCAGTAGCACCCATACTAAAAGTTTTAAAAACTTTCTCGGCCGAACGCGCAAGTTTTTATAGAACGTGGAAAAACTTTCGACCAAATCTGAACGTTACCCCTCAAGAAATTTATCTTAAGAGGTAACCATTTTTTAAGAAAATTGGAAAACTTTTTTTAGGAACCAATACTGACAATTCATCGTTGATAAAGTAGTGTTACCCCTCAAGAAATATATCTTAAGGGGTAACCATCGAAAATTAAAATAACGTTATTAGGAACCAGTTATACCTCAAGTTTGGGTTATTTATAACGCTGACAATGTCTCGATAATAATGTAACGTTACCTCTAAAGAAATATATCTTAAGAGGTAATCATTTTTTTTTTTTTAGAAAGTTAATATACAGTTATTAGGAAACAGTCAAACATCATGAATATGGGGAGATTTTTAAACGAATGTAACGTTGATCATTTCTCGATGCTAATCTAACGTTACCCCTCAAAAACTATGTATTAAGAAGTAACAATTGTTTATAAAAATTTAAATAATGTTATTAGGAACCAGTTAAACGTCCAGATTGGGGTAGTTTTTAAATAAATATAATGCTGACATTTTCTCAATAATAATGTAACGTTGATAATTTAACGTTACCCCTCAAGAAATATTTCTTAAGAGATACTAATTTTTGAAGGAAATTCACATAACATTAGTAGGAACCAATTGTACCTCCAGATTGGGGTAATTTTTAAATTAATATAACGCTGACATTTCTCAATGATAATGTAGGTACTTACCAGGTACCTGTACCTCCGAGATAACAGTATGGAAAGTAGTATAGGTAAATTTTATTCTATATATGTTTAGAATTTACAAATTTACTTTAAATTTACATTACCTCTGGGGTAAATAAAGATTAAAAGTTAACAGTTTTAGTTACTCATAAATTAAGGTTATTTTTAAGAATTTGATTAATGTTAGCCTCAAAATTGTAGTAACCTGTAATTTATAGCACTTATGAAAAATGTAAATAAGATGATTGCTAAATAATACAGTTACGTCCCAAAATTTGACCTCAAAAATATTGATTTTAAATGTTACCCCAAAAAAATGTGCATACAAATAACCCCAATATAACTTTTTAAAGGATTGTGCAGTATTTTTGTCTTTTAGAATACACTTTAGAGTTCTCTTACGGGTTAACAAAAAAATTACTAGCTTCTTAAATTTGGTCTAGATATCTCTGGAGGTAACAGGTGAGGTAATTTTGGAGGGAAAAACTGAAATGGTCGAAACTTATTCCGTTCTTGCTAACAATGAGAAAAACAATCAACAGGTGGTCCTCTATACCAATACATAACAACGAAATATATTCGCAATCAACAACTATACAAGGGTAAAAGAAAAATTACCATTGCGACGCTGGCCGAGATTTAATTTTTTTTGCTTAAATTTTATTTAACAACTATTTTGTTTACTTCTAGCTCTCTAGTTAGTTATTTTTTTGTAAACCTACGGTTACTGATATGCTATTCGTATGGATAAATGTCGATTTGACAGTAACATGAATGATGGATTGTCTGACAAAAAGAGTTCGTTCATAGCATTGATCAAACTTTATTTTGGATAAATTTCACATAAAATTGGATCTAGATGGTATCCAAAATAATTTGAAACACTATGTATACCAAGGAATGCCTCAAATTGTCATCTTGGAATATTTGAGGCACCCTCTAACAATCTATCATCAAAACAACTCGCACTACTTTTTAAAAAAACATCTAAAAATAACATGTTTAAATTTTAGGGCGTACTCTAAGGTTCGATTTTTGGACCACTAAATTTTTCCACGCGCTTACACGATATTTACGACGAGCTCTTTTTGTCAAATTACATTGTACTAGGGGGAGGATATGGTTTGCTTATAATTTTATACACAGCATGAGAGGTCGATCAAATGATATATAAATATATCCGATGACGTTGTCTATGTATTATCTATTATATGATAAATGACGCAAAAATTAGAAATAGTAAATTGCCCAAATGGTAAACGAGCTTTATAGTGCATAAATTTAAGGTTATATGTACAGAACGAAAAAACATATACAGAGTGTTTTTAGCTACATATTGTCCGCTGGTGGGCACTTTTTATTCAGTAACAGTCAACAGGGGTACACTTATCGTTCTTTTTAGTTTATTCATCTTTAAGTGCCAATTTTATAGTTGCTGTTTTATTAATATTTCAACGAGTTACAAAGAATATTAAGACGTTACTACAGGGGGTAATTATTGACTTGTTATCCACAAAAGAGCCAAATTGTAAACGGAAAAAGTTTTATGGCGATTTAAAGCTTTTCGGAGCATATTTACTAATATCTCATGGATCTATCCAAAATAAAACATGGAAACTGATAAAGTGTGACTTTTTTTTTCTAAACAAAGCAAGTAACCATGACAACTGGTATGTCAACGCTGTCATAGTTGTCAAAACGTTAAATGTGCTTTGTCTACATTGAATTTATTGTGATTCCTTTAGAAGTTTATCATTAAAAACATTTGATAGTACCTATAATCATGACAATTGATATGTCAAAGCTGTCATAGTTGTCATGTGCTTGGTCTACTTTGAATTTGTTGTGATTCCTTTAGAAGTTTATCATTAAAAACATTTGATAGTACCTATAACCATGACAATTGATATGTCAAAACTGCCATAGTTGTCAAAACGTTAAATGTGCTTTGTTTATGTTGAATTTGTTGTGATTCCTTTAGAAGTTTATCATTAAAAACATTTAATAGTACCTATAACCATGACAACTGCTATGCCAATGCTGTTATATTTGTTAAAACGTTAAAGTGCTTTGTTTACGTTGAATTTGTTGTGATCCCTTTAGAAGTTTAACATTAAAAACATTTGATAGTACCTACATTAAATATTTTGTGACAAAAAATAGGTTGCAGCTCATTAAACATTTTTCTATCGAATTCTATCGGTGTTTCGTTGTGCACTTTCTATTAAAAAAATGTCTAGTAGGTGTTGTAAAAATAGGCCAGATGACTTTTGTTATATTTGTAGACACTTTACAGTGAAGAGGTTTAAACGAAACATTACTGATTTCGTAAAAAATGCATATTTTGCATATTTTAAAGTCAGACTTGGAGATCAAGATAAACCTTGGACGCCACATGTTATCTGCAAGATTTGCGAAGAAGCCTTGAGGCATTGGTTTGAAGGAACAAGAAAAGCCCCACCGTTTGGAATACCAATGGTCTGGAGAGAACCTAAAAATCAAATTGACGACTGCTATTTTTGTCTTTGTGATATTAAAGGTCATAACACAAAATCTCTAAAGTATATTAACGATCCTAATCTTTCGTCTGAAATAAGACCAGTTCCACATGACGCTGATATACCTGTACCTGTTCCACATAAAGTATTACAGCCTATCGAATCAGAATCTTCAACAGATTTAGAAATTTACATTTTTGAGCCATCTACCTCAGGAACCCGTGAACCGCAGCCATTTTCTCAAGTAGAACTGAATGACTTAGTCACGGATTTGGGACTTCCAAAAGACCTCTCTGAGGTTTTAGGATCAAGGCTTAAAGAAAAGAAATTACTTGCTCCAGTTACTACATTTTATTGGTATAGAAATCGTGAGGCTGAATTTGTCAATTACTTTGCAGCAGCTGGTTCACTTGTAAATTGTCAAAATGTATCTGACTTGGTTATTCACCTAGGTGCTCCTGAATACAATCCTGCCGAGTGGACACTTTTTATAGACTCTTCAAACGCAGGCCTGTGTTATTCTTCTTCTTTTTCACTGCCAGCACACGGCCTACCACTTCCCAAAGCATAAAATTCTTTTTTCTTTTCAAAGGATAAAATTCCAATCAGTTTCAAAATGATTTCGATTGGTCGCGAATGGCGCCAAATTTAAATTTAATTTTTTTTATTAACTTCACTACATACGATATAACGAATTGTAGACTTTTTAAGCTGGACAAAGCCTTTTATATACCAGATTTTGCATAAATATTTATCAACTTCAAATTGTATAACATTTCCGCCTTTTTTCACTACGCACTTGTGCAACCACATAACTGATTGTACAACATTTTGTACAGTTGTACAACCAGGAACAACACTGATTACAGAGCCAACTAAAAAAAATATATAATTTAAATTGTTTATGACAGATGATAATATAGTAACATCCTGACATAGTTGTCATGGTAATATGCCGCGTTTGAGAATCCACATCGGATGCATTTTTTACATCTCTTTACATTTACATATACTGAATCACGTGATCAAAGATTTACTACATCTCAGATGCATCCGATGTGGATTCTCAAACGCGGCAATGGTACCTTGTTTTGTGCAAAAACAAATACGTGTTACCAACTGTGTTTTGACGTCACATTCCGAAAAGTTTTCACTTCAAAAATCTGCTGAAATATTAATAAACAGCAAATTTTAGATTTTAATTGATCAAATATACCCAAAAACTGAAAAAAAATCTCAATTTCCTCTTAAATTCTCAAATATGGAACCGACAGTCCGGTATACCTTACTTTTTGTTGTCGTTATTATTAATTGTATTCAACTTCGCAAGATATACTTTAATTTAAAAAAAAATTACACAAATTACCCAAAAAAAATCTCTTTGTTCATCGGCTCGATTAAACCGTCAGAAATTTTATTCTATATCACAACTAATTCATTTTTATCACTTTCGAAAAATTTTTGCACCCGATTCGGGCGTCTCTGTCGCAATATCAGGTTTCGATATTGCCCCGATTATAGTGACCCGTGAAAAGTAAGTATTTTTGTACCGTTTATACGAAAAATGTTCTTTTTTGTAGTCATAACTGGAAAACGGAATTTAATAAATAATAATCAGTACATTATATTTATTGCACATAGAAAAGGAACATTGTTTAAAACAACCATCATGAAGCGTTTTTAATCATTGTCATTGTTTATAATTCATGACGAATTACTGTCATGGTGCCCGATTCGTATTATTTGTGGACTTTATTTGTTTCACTATGTGTAAATGTGCAATAATTGCATTTGATTTGGTCAGTGTAGATTCAAATATTTGAGTGTAGATAAAGTGTAACTATTTTATTTGCTAACAAACGTACACTGAATCTACACTCTACACTGACTTTCAACGGAAGTGTAGCTGTCAAATGTGTGATAATTAGGCATTCCAAACAAATGAATTACCAGTGGGCAGGTTTGGTATATCTAAGGGTGGCGACATATGGTGTATTCTATCTACTTTACGTAAAATCATGAATAATGGATTACATTTAAATATTTTATGTCAAACACAATAAAAATTATATTTAAAAAACCCACCTATACATTTCTTCATAAATTGGCAGGCTTGGCGAGTATCACTTCGAATAAAAATAGCGTCCAAGTTGCAAGACTATGTCGCTACCCCCCTTAAATATACAAGAATTTCCCACTGGCACCTATTGTTTGACAGGTCGTTGAAATGCCTAATTTGCACTAAATGACATACAAAAAAAATAAGAGTGGATCTGAATGAATCTGTGGTAGATGGTGTTTATATTATGATGGATGATTTTGATAGAGTAATGGCGTAAGTTCTTTTATTAGAAAGAAGGAAATTAAATAAAATGATATACTTAACTGAAAATATAATTGATCAATATGACGATGAAGAGGTAAGTTTAATCTAGAAATTTGAGACATTTTTAAAAAACCGATAGGTATCTACGAAAAAAACGAACTCTAATTTTATTTAAGATTTACAGGTGGGCAAGCCTCACGTTCGATTTAAAAGTGTTGCACTTACACCAAACCATCATGAAACATTTACTTTTGATAAGTATGACAATTCGAATACAGTGTCGAGTGTGACACTACTGCAACAAATAAAATCCATTTTTATTAAAGTGGAGTGAAGTAAAATGCCTGTAAATAGCACTGGGTTGTATTTATGGGTACTAGCCACTGTATAGGTAAGTCAGTTAATTCAATAAAAAAAAAGAAGGGACTGGACAACGCGCAAAGGCAAACAAAACTGTGTTCACGATTGTAAAAGAGAGAGAGGACACATGCTTGTAAGATCTCCGTCTTTCTCTTAACCAAACGTGCTAGTTCCATTTATTTATTGAGTTCTGTAGTATATTTAGAGGTAAACGGTAAGTAAAATTACTCGATACGCCTTTTTTTTGGATTTACTAACGTCATTCTGTCACGGCGCTGGCTGTGAACATTAAGGGTACCTTAGTAATATCAGATAAATTCATAGAAATTCATAGAAATTCATAGAAATTCATAGAAATTCATAGAAATTCATAGAAATTCATAGAAATTCATAGAAATTCATAGAAATTCATAGAAATTCATAGAAATTCATAGAAATTCATAGAAATTCATAGAAATTCATAGAAATTCATAGAAATTCATAGAAATTCATAGAAATTCATAGAAATTCATAGAAATTCATAGAAATTCATAGAAATTCATAGAAATTCATAGAAATTCATAGAAATTCATAGAAATTCATAGAAATTCATAGAAATTCATAGAAATTCATAGAAATTCATAGAAATTCATAGAAATTCATAGAAATTCATAGAAATTCATAGAAATTTATAGAAATTTATAGAAATTCATAGAAATTCATAGAAATTCATAGAAATTCATAGAAATTCATAGAAATTTATAGAAATTTATAGAAATTCATAGAAATTCATAGAAATTCATAGAAATTCATAGAAATTCATAGAAATTCATAGAAATTCATAGAAATTCATAGAAATTCATAGAAATTCATAGAAATTCATAGAAATTCATAGAAATTCATAGAAATTCATAGAAATTCATAGAAATTCATAGAAATTCATAGAAATTCATAGAAATTCATAGAAATTCATAGAAATTCATAGAAATTCATAGAAATTCATAGAAATTCATAGAAATTCATAGAAATTCATAGAAATTCATAGAAATTCATAGAAATTCATAGAAATTCATAGAAATTCATAGAAATTCATAGAAATTCGTAGAAATTCGTAGAAATTTGTAGAAATTTCTAAAAAATGTTACCTTATTTTTTGAAGTTTTACATATGTTGTTTCTCCTGTAGCACGATCATTTCCTGGCTCTGGCGTGGTAGAAGTGCACTAACTCTTGTAAAAATGGCCAGAGTTGGCTACCGAACCGTGAGAGTTAGCCAGAAATCAGCTGACAAGCACAAAACATAAAACAAAAGCGCTGCTACCTAATAATTTTACTTCCTGTTTTATTCTATACAATGGAGCAGCCATTTTAATTGTTCATCTCACTCGAGAGCAATTTTAACAACCATATTGTTTTTCACTCTAAACAATCTTGTGGTTTGTGGTCCTAGTCCTTTAGTTAATTTGAACATAAAGTAAATTCAAAGAAGTATTTTGCGATAATAATCCTCAAAACCATAGGCCTTCGTTTTTAAGGTTAAGAGAAATTTATAAAAAATATTTTGTTATAAAATAAAAATACTGAATTTGTTTATAGAGAAAAACGTTGTCGGAAATGTTCGAATCGACTATATTGACACTTTACAAAACATAATTGGCATTCTACTTCACTCTACTTCATTGGGTTAATCTCGACATTGAATAGAAAGATTCAGCAATGTGCACATTTTTGTTTGTTTTAAACAATGCTCAAGAAACTAAAATATGAAGATCATCGGTAAGACATAAAATTTGTCTCGTTTTCGACAAAAGTTCACGTTGTTTTATCTATCAAAGACATTTAATATTTTGAGGTTACTTAAAAAAGAACGTCATGGTCAGTTGTCAAAGTAACACGACTAAAAATTCGGTACTATTATATGAGTCTCAGTTAATTTATTTATCCAAAAACGCTTTTTTTAATTCCGCAACTTGATCTCATTACGTAGTTTAACTATAATTGTACAGAGGGCGTATTTGTCATGTTGGCAACTGTGATTCAATTAAAAATACTAAGATACTACGTGATTTTGGTCGAAAACGAGCAGCGCATATTTATGTGTGGAAAGCATCTACTTAGTACATTCCAACATGACGTCGGGCGGTTCTTTCTATCTTTTTACATAACTTCGCACTTATCTTTGGCTACTCGGCTATTCGCCTTGCCGCCCACTTGAAGACTTACGTTACGGGATTTTTCCAAATTGAGAAGCTCCTGGAACAGTTGCTTCACGTTGTGATTGGTCTTGGCCGAAGTTTCCATGAAACTCACTCCCCATTCGGCCGCTTGAGCTTGCCCTTCCGAAGTACTCACCTGAAGATGAAATGAGGATATACGTAGAAACATTTAATTTTTTAATTAGAATGGACGCTACTTTGAGCCCACTTTTTAGATTTTTCCCCAGATCTGGGGAAGTTTTTGGAAATCTGGCAAAACCGCACCGCATGAATCAATGGTAAAGAATGGGCAAGTGGATGGCTCAAAGGTAGTGTTGTCAGTCTAGTATAATTGTACTAGATCTGGTACATTATTTAAGAATCTGGTACTCCAGTACACTTGAAGCAAAATCTAGTACTTTTAGCTGGTTTCCATCGCAATTCGAAAAAAATGGTACAATTTATAGAATCTGGTACATTTTTATGGAATCTGGTACATTTCTCAGACTAATCTGGTACATAACAAACATATATTCTGGCAACACTGCTCAAAGGTCAACATGATAACAATTCTTTTAACTTGCTATCTGTTATTACCCATTACCTCGTCCGATTACCCGGGTTGCAAATCCCGGTTTTTAAATTTGTTATTATGTTGACTTTTGGTCCCTCCCCTTGCCCGGTCTCTGTGTCTAAGGGTTATATTGATCTGAAAGATCTACTGGAAAAGCGATGTTGCCTTTTATTTTCAAATTTCTAGTTAATTATGGACTGTGCGACGTTGCCAAACTTACTCTACAAATTTTCCCAGATCTGGGGAAATATTGAAAAAGTAGATTCAATATTTCCCCAGATCTGGGGAAATATTGAAAAAATGGATTCAAGCGGTTCCCCTTTTATTTTATTAATATTTTTACCTCTCTTAATTCGGCACTCTCGTCGCATTTATTCCCCGTCAGCATGATGGGAATCTGACTCAAATCCGGACCCTTGAGCTCTCTGATGACGTCGAAAATCGGTCGCAATTCTTCTAAAGACTGGCGACTACACACCGAGAAGACGAGAATGAAGGCGTGACCTTTGCTGATGGATAATCTCTGCATGGCTGGGAACTGGTGCGAGCCGGTAGTGTCGGTTATTTGAAGGGTGCAGATGTTTTTGTTGCAACTTATAACCTGTTTTACACGACGTAATTATAGTGAGAAAATTTAATAGCTAATCGGCTTACTGCCAAAACAAGATAAGTACATTTTTACCATTTTTGAGTTAAGTCCATTTTTGTACCTAAGATACTGCAAAAGCCAGATAAGTGTTGGACAATGGAAAAATACTAAAAAATGTAGGCTTGTTTTGGCAATAATTCATTTTGCTCAAAACTGTACAGCTAAAACAAGTTAAGTGCACATTTAACGAAAAGTAAAAATTTTATATGCACAAATGGAATTAATTTTTCTGGAAAAACAGGGTGAGTGCCATTTAATTTAATTTGGCTATTGAAGTTTAGAAGATTGTTAGAATGCCTATGCGTATATATAAAACAGATAGGTGTCTCATTTTGCAGTTTATTTTATCGTTACATTAGCATGCTTAGAGTGCAAAACCAAATAAGTGTAATTTATCTTTTTTTCCTGAATTCCCAATTTCACCCAAATAGGTTAAGTACATAAAAAAAAAATTGTTCTACTAGTTATACATTTGCTAATTATTATTTTTTTTATTTCTGGTAATAATTATGTTTATAGTACCACAATCTATGTTATTTTACCATGAAGTTGTTTTAGTGTAGGTTAAAACTTTTAAACTTAATTTATTCAAAACTAATAAAATGCAACTTATCTTGTTTTGGCAGTAAGCCGACGATATAGGGTGTTCCCTTATGTCATATGAATTATGCAGGGGAGAATTTACTTATTTTTATGACTAAAATTTCATTTAACATATGCTCTAAATGACTTTTTTTTGAGATCACTCTTTTGACTTACTCGACATGATTATGGTACTAAAAGGATAATTTAAACATATTAAAAATGCTCTTCTTTTCATTGAGTCCCGTACTCTTTCAAATATTTCAGGCGTAGTTCTGATAATATCAAACTACCGGTGTTGGAAATGCATACAACATATTGCACTTATTCATAATGCTAATCCGGTTTCTAAAGGCAAAACTAATTAATTAATATTCAATCAAGTAACTCCTAAACAATAAACAGGCAAGAAAATTTAAAAATAAAGACTTAAGAACAATTATTCAACCAATCAAAGAGCAACATCGCAATACTTTTCCATGATATTCGCAAAAGCGCTACTTCTTACTTTGCTACTAGATGGCACTCTGGAACGTTCTCGTTGCCTCGTTTTGGCTTTAGGTTTGTTCGTGTTTTTAGTTTTACTTGTGCAGAACCGTTCCAGACATGCGTAGTAGACTAAAAGTGTTCGTGTTTTCTGGAACCAAGTTCTGAACAAAGAGTCCAGTGTTTGAGTTTTTTTAGAACGATTCTGAACTGTTTTAAAGAGTTCTATGTGATTCTAGCCAAAAGTGCGAACTGACAAAAATCGTTCAAGTCACACATGCGCACTGCACCATTACAAAAATAACGAGTAAACAAGGTTAGAGGTATATTATATTATATTGTAAATTTCCTTGAATATGGAATTATAGGAATTTGACTGAGAAAATTAATTTTCTTTATAGTTTATCATTTTCTTTAAACTAAGAAGAACATATTAACGGTGACCTTCAAAAAACGTAACCAAATCATACCAATTTTATTTAAAGTTCAGTTACAAAAGGGAAAACTCTGTGTTTGTTTTTTTTTTTTTTATTTTTAATGCTAAATAATAAATATTTTACCCCACAATTTTAACAAAATCAATTGACAGTTGATAATTTAGATGTTCGTGTTAATATCTAATCCAAAACTTTTCGGAAGAATTCCAAATTTGTGCCACTAAACAACTAGTTCAGCCCAATTTTAGAACAGTTCTATTTTGAATAACACGAACAAACCTTTTATATGAGCGGCGATTTGCAACGCGACCTCAGTTCCTAACAAACGAAACCAACAGCACGTTGTGGCGAATGCAGTATTGAGTTTGCGATTTACGTATTCTCGTTTACGTCAACGATAAATTACAAATTATGGATACGTTTTTAAAAAGAAGTGCAGTACCATCTACGTCTGAAAGTGGTGGTAATAAAAAGAAAAACTGACTCTACACTGAAGAATATCTTAAATATGGTTTTTACCGATATTTCCAATAAACCACAATGTATTATTTGTGAAGATGTCTTGTCACAAGAAAGCATGAAGCCGTCAAAGTTGCTTTGACATTTAAATAGCAAACTTCCAGATAAAAAAGACAAACAAAGCTGAACCGTCAAACGGGGTGAAGTCGAACGGCAGGGGTGCAGTCGATCAATCCGGTGTTTTCACTTGTTTTTAAGAATTATGGCAACAATGCATTACAAATCAGCTGGTTTGTATTTACGCTCGTGTGGCCAACTGGTGAATATCCAGTATATCGATGGAGCTGGTTAATCGTGTTTAATCTATTTTTGGATGGTCCCTTAACCCGAGACGATTTCTGGGAAACCAAAACATCATAAACCCAGCGGTCGAGAAAAGGATCGTGCGGTCAGTGCAGAGACAACCCAGCGTGAGTGGGACAAATAGTTGGATGGGCAGATTATCGAACACCGTTGAGGAATGCAGTCGATTTCTTTTGTTAAGACTGTGTTATTCCATTGGTTTTAATAATTATTATTTTTGTAACATTATTTTAATATTAATAAACTTCATACGCAAAATAAATATTTAATTATTTGTGTAGTTTACACGGGAAAGGTGAGTTTCCAAAAAAAATTAAGTAGTAAAAAAGCAACACTTCTCAAACCTGTAAAATGTGTAAAATCAAAGATTTGCACAGCCGATTCTGTAAAAACTAGGTCTGTCCTAGCCCCTCTAGGTGATAAAAAATATGTTCATGAAAAGGTGTCCACAATCAGATATGAAATTTTTTTTGTGCGGTTTCAACTGCAAATTTTCTGTGCCGAAGTAAAACAACGGGATGAAGTGGATCACTTGGTTTTCGCTGTATTTTGTGAAGCTGTGAAGTTATGTTTAAAGCAATTTGTTTTTGGGTGATTTCTCATGTGAATTTCGTGTGCTAGCATATGAGGGGTGTCGAGCAGGGGGGATGAATCGTATGTTATTATTTTTTTCTTTATTTTTATAGATGCCACGAAAATACGTGAAGAAGCTGGATGCTCATGGCAAAAGAAACTACGACCCCGCGTATTTAAAGAGAACGCTAAATGCAGTGCGCAAGGGAAGAATGAGCATGCGAAGAGCGTCAAAAAGGTTTGCAATGCCATATACGACACTAAACGATCACTTTCATACGGCACATTCCTTGGCATATGGTGATCAACCTGCTCTTGATTGTGAACATTGTGAAACATTGTTAGTGAATGCTTTGCAAACCTGTTCTGAGTGGGGTTTCCCATTAAACCCCATTGATATTAATCACGCAGCAATATTTAAATGAACGCGGCATCACTGAAAAGCGATTTGCCAAGAATATGTCAAAAGAAGGCTGATTTAACGGCCTGATGAAGACATCCCCGGCTTACAATCAAGCTTGCGGAGAATACAGAGCGAGTGAGAGCCCCTGTAACATACGAGATTATTGAGGAATATTTCTGAAATGTGGCGGAAATCATAAGGGATATCCCATCACAAAACGTTGTGAACTACGACGAGACAAACTTCGTTGACGATCCCGGGGCTGTAAAAGTGGTAATGAAGAAAGGAAGCAAACATGCCTACAGGACACTTGACACCACAAAAAGCAGCACAACAATTATGTTCGCAATAGCTGCTGATGGAATTCGTCTCCCCCCTTATAAGGTGTACAAAGCTAAAAACACCTTTATGAAGGATGAAAGGAGGGCGGATTACCAGGAGCAATGTATAACAGATCTCCAAAGGGATGGTTTGATTCCAAATTTTTTAACGATTGGTTCAGGACCATAACACTCGCATATTTTCGCAAATTAGAAGGGACCAAGCTGCTTATTGGAGATAACTTGCAAAGTCACATTACTATCAGTGTTATTCAAGAGTGCGAAAACAACAATATTAAGTTTGTCTTACCAATTCAACCTACATGCTCCAGCCACTGGTCGTGGCTTATTTTCGTCCACTTAAATCATAATGGAAAAGAGTACTGGAGGAATGGAAACTGAAAAATAGGGGGGTTTTACCAAAAAACTGTTGAAAACCGCGGTAGAGGGGCTTGGGAATCGCGAAATTAATAATGTTTTAGATGGATTTAAAGCATGCGACCTAGTTCTACTACACCGGAGGCAGGAAACAAGACAGAAACTTCAATGACTGCAGTGCTTGTAGATTATCTACACCAGCTCAAGACTGGGCCAAATAATGTCCCAAAGCGAGGAAAACTACTGAATATAGCCGCTGGCAAAAGCATAGGCACAGAAGATTTGGAAGAAGAGAACCAAAAAAGCTGCAAGCAATCCACAACGCGTGAGAGACAAACAAGCGACAGCGAAGAGGGAGCAGATGACTTACGAGACACTGGAGGTGGAGGAACAGAATATCAACATAGACGATTATGAAATTGGAGAAAGTTTCACTGCGCCAGCCAACACTTTTGATCCATGCGGCAACTAGGATATATGATATATGAGACTTTATCATCACAAAATATGAGACAAACAAGAGAGATCGATTTAATGTCGTTAAAATTATTGAAATCCCAGGGATTGAAATAGTTGTAAGCACACTGCGTAAACATCTATCAAACAAATCTGTTTTTCACTTTTCCAAATGTTCCAGATTTTCCGACAACTCCATTTAAAATTAGTAAAGCGAGGCAAATATTTATTTTTCCTTAGAGAAGAAGAACTGAAAACGCTCCAGTAAAAGATTTTTATGCGTTCGTTCGTTTCATAAATTTTTATAATTATGTTTTTAGTTTTTTTGATCTGTTTTTATTTTTAAGTATAATGGCATTTATTTAAGGTTTATGTTATTAAGAAATCAATGGCTGTGTAAAGCTCGTCCAAAGATTAAACGTTTATATTTTTTTAATATGCGTTTTATTGCAAAATTCTTCTGCAAATATTTATATTTTTTATTATTCACTGATCGACTTTATCCTGGACGGTCCTAAAGGGGTGCTCGCCTTCACCCCGGACCTTGGGGGGAAGTCGATCACCCTTTATTTTAAAATAAAAAAACGACCTTGCTCCAGTCACCAGTCGACGACTTAAGCATTAATTTCATCAAAATACAGTTATTAGTTTTTCCGTAATCTCAAAAAAAAACGTATTATTTTTGAACGACTTCACCCCGTTTGAGGGAACGTCTTTCACAAACAGCAAAATACTTTTTCATTGGCAATCACTACTAATGAAAAAGTATTTTTCTTTTGGGTGTCATCGGCTTTAACTACTTAGGTTATTTCGCCTCTCGTGTTCTGTGTAGGCTTTGTTACTGTTTCTCAGCGCCACTTTAGGAACCACCCTGTTAATTAGAACCCAGCAGTGAATGGTCGAGTGGGGAATCCTACCAAGGCATCAGAATTAATTTTAAATAAATAAATTAAACAAAAAAATCCCGGCCAACGGTGGGATTCGAACCTGCGACCCTTGAGCTACTGAGCCACCCACCCCCTGAAAAAGTATTATTAGTAAGTTATACAGTTGCTTATCGCGTTGTCAAAACTATAGCAACCCGAACACAATTGCTATTTTTTTAATGTTATGTTTCCCTTAGGGACGCTACTGGGCTTTTTAATTTTAATAAAATAAAGTTAAAATGTTCCTCTTCATACTACAAAGAAACCTGTCAAGTTTAATAATTAAAATAGTCAACAGTGAATAAGATATTAATGAAAGATCGATTTTTTAAACATTTATCATTCTTCTTCTTTTCGTCTATTTGAGCTCAATCCCTCTGGATTATTCACCCAGGTGTAAACATTTAACATTTTGTATCTTTAAAACAAAGCAATTCAAAGCAAGTTTATAAAAAAATTTAGTGAAAAAATACCTAGTCCAAAGAACAAGGAATAACCTTCAATATTATAACATATGACATTAAAGAACACCCAGTATATAATATAGCGGAGTCAATAAAAGTATCAATTTTATTCCTAATAAAAATACTATCTATTTGCATCACATAACATAAGCAAAATATGAAATATACAAGACGTTTTGACAAAATAAGGTAATAAAAAATAATACAAACTTTCAAGAAACTAGAAAAAAAACTTTATTAAAAAAAAAAACAATATAAAAATAATAAATACAAGCAAAAAACTAGCAGTGGCTACACGTTCAATTGACGTTACATATATTTATTTATTTTGAATAAAATTTAGGGAAATTATTTTAATTTCGTCAGTTGAAATAATAGCCAATAATTAGATACCTAACACAACGAAAATATAGAAGCTATAAAGAACGTACAAACTAAAAAACAATTTACTTAAAAAAACTACTTACCGTAAATCAAAAACATGAAGCCAAAATAATAAAAATACATCAAGTAACAAAAACAGAGCATCGTGAACTGAAAGAGTAAACTAAACAAAAAATCGACAATCAAAAAGCTGACAAAGTGCCCCCTTACTTGTCGATATGTGTCTTCGATTGTGGGTATATAGCTCTCACGAAACGTCCCTTTAACGAACCTCAACACCAACGAGCTCTTACCCACCCCGCCAGCACCAAACACAACAACCCGGTAGTCGTTACTCTGTTCCGGCATATCCACTTTTATTTTAACTTCTTTTAAATTTGGAAATACTCCAATTTTACAGTAAAAAAAGAGGTTATATTACGACTGTTGCCAGCGTATCGTTTGACTTTTTGTTGTACATTACTCACGGCTTTTGAGCATTAAACACTTCGTTTTTAAGTTGATGCCGTTAATTTTAGTTTAATATTTGTATTATAAAATGAAATTTTTGTTCTAAAATAATAACGTCATTGTGAAACAAAAATTTTATATTGATTCTCTTGTTTCTAGCCATCTCTTGATTAAATGGGTAAACCAAAGTGACAGCTGGTGGTTGGCCTACGAATTATCAGGCCGATAAACTTTATTACTCAACAGATACCGCGTTTGAATATCCACATCGGATCCATCTGAGATGTGAATTTTTTATCACGTGATAGAGAATTAGATCAGAATGTAAATGTAATAAACACGCTCTAGACTTTATTGGCCACGTGATAAAATATCAATGGCAAGTTAGAAGTTTATACTTTTTAAACCTAATATAAACACACTGCAAGTCGTTGAATAAATAATTAATAATGCACATGCAACTAACAATACAAGAAAGTAATATTGGTTGCCTGAATGTCGGTAATGTTTAACCAAAACCACCACTATTCATCAGTGACCAAAATACAAATTTTAATCAAAATCAGAAAAAATATTGTGTGCATATTGCGGGACCTCGCTCTGCTCGTCCTGTAAGTATTCATTTGTTGCATAATAAGACATTTCGCAACTGGTTTCATAAATAGCTATTTCAGGACCGATTCCACCGTTGTGTAAAACAAAGTTTAAAATGACATTTTTACATTAACAATGTCATTTTAATCTCCGTTTAACACAACGGTGGAATCGGCCCTAAGGTAGTTAATTTTGTCATTAACCCTTTGCCAGATTATTTGTTTCAAAAGTACTTATAATATTTGAAAATGATCACCCTTGTTATAGAAAAAAAAAATTAATTCAGGCCTTACTTTAACGTCACTCGAATCAAAAAATGCTAATTTACCAAAAAATCGAAGAGAAATCTTTTACGATTGACACTAATGGCAGATGACAGTTACTTTTAGACAGCTCGCGTTACGTCGTGACGTCATGACCTTAAAAAATTGTAACGGTTTCTTTTCAAAACTTTCAAGTTTTCGGCAGGCCATTTAAAAACGAGTTAACAAGAGCAATAAAATTATGCTACCAGGCAAAAGTGACTCATTCACGTTCCGCAGAGGTATTACTGAAAACGGGTCGAACAGAAGCGCAGGCATGCAGAATTGTCGAAGGAAGTTAGAAGACAAATTCGACGACAACCAAAAGAATGGCAGCACCCACAACGATAGATCGGTATTATCAGTGCTGTCGTTGAACGATAATGCTAGAAAAACGCTGAGAAACGGGGCTGAAAGACTGACGAAAACTTTTAACACGTTTAGAACATCCATAGGAACGTTTACACAGGTATTTTTATCACTTATATTATTCGTTTCAAAAGTGTACCTAGTTTTTATGTCTTTAGAAATTCAAAATATCGACAAAACGTCGGCAAATTTTGGAGGAAGGTCCAATGACTCCTAATGTTGCTGGTACGACTCCATATTCAAGGCAACTTTTAGGACGAACTCCAACTAAAATGTACAGTCCTTTCGGAGTAGAAAGTCCTTATAGCGCTACTACGTACAATATGGAAAATGTGCCTCCTAATTACTATACAAAATAGAAAATATTTTGATCGAAAATATGTATACAGGGTGTTTTAGTAGCATAATAGCTTCACTGAGTTATACAGTATTGAAAATGTCTTGTACAGTTTCGCTTTGTATATAGTGAATCTTATATACTTTGATTTTTTTACATTCCTATTTTCTAGGTACTATTTTTTTACAAACGTTGATCGTTTGTATATTTTTTTGGCTGTACTATTGTATTTTTGTAATTATAAGTATTTTGCAGTATTATTTTTGGTAATATTACTGATTTACTTAATTTAATTATTATATTTTAGTGATATTTATTAGCAGTGAGTTAAAAGTGTATATTCATACATTATTGACGTGCCAATTTTTGTATTTTTGAAAATAATGTCCAGCTAAATTTCCTTGATTAGGAAAGTTCTTTTTTCTTTACTCATTTTTTTATTGTATTTTGTTTGAGACTGATATTGGTATCTTTTTTCTTTTGATAAAATATTTTGTGTGATCTTTGAAAAAAAGTTTATGGTAATTGCGAATAATTAAATTGAGATTAAATACAGATCTTTAAAAAGAAAATTGGTAGTTTTATTTAGAATGTGTGTCAAATATTTGTTTAAATATCTAGGTAGTACTAAAAAATAAAATATAGTGTCGCAAAAAGTTTGCATTATAGCAAATAAATACTTTCTTATTGATTTCTCAAAAAAATTATCTTGATAAAAGTTAGCGCATGACCTAAAACTATATTAAATTAATGGATATATTAATCTCTCCGATCAAAAAATAAATTTGACTGGAAAGTAAATTAACTGTAATGGTTACTTTATAGCAGACCATTAAAAATCAAGAAAGAAGATTTTAACTGTCAAGTATAATCAGTTTCTCGGTGCGAGCTCCGAACTAAAACGAAGATATACGAAGTAGAAAAGCGATGCCAAATTGTCCAAAAGTAGTAAAACTACAGAATTTATCGAAAACCTAAAATGTCAATATCTCTATACGAATTACAAAATAAATAAAATTCACAATTGAGACAACGATTTTTTTAATTTAATAAATAACAAATTCATCCACTATGGTACACATACATTTTGATAAAAATTGTACAGTTTTACTAATACAACCGGGGGCGTCAAAAATAGTAAATTTTCGGCTATAAAAACTGAACACCGATTCCGAATTGAACGCCTGGATGCGTTTGGTCGCATTTATCGTAAATGTACGGGAAGCAATAGTTGATTTCTAAACGTGCCATGTTGCCAAGTCGCAAGGCTATGCCCAAACCATATGATACTCGAACATTGTTCCGTATTATTTCCAGGATGTTTTGACCGGATTTCACTAAAATATTCGATAAATTAAATGTTAGTAATTTTGTTGAACTAGAAAATGTTTGATGACCCTCTTTGTGGCAAAATTGTCTTTTTTTATATTATTTTTAATCTTGAATTTCGTTCCCGAGACTGGATTTCTTATATTCAGATTAAATTTTACGGCTATTTAAGTCTTTTGATAACAAGTTTAAGTCTTAAGAAAGTTCCGTACATTATTTTGAAATTACGTTAAAGTTTCGGTAAAAAAAAATTATTTTTCTCCGTTGGTTACAGAGTTTTGACACTCTGTATATTAATATAATCGAAAAACTGTATGCCGCATCTCTTTAAGCTATCCTGCATACCGTACGATCGATTTTTATCAACAAAGTTACCAATTATTTTTACAGAACTGTCTTCAGATGAATACATTTTAAGATCAACCAGGAACTCCTAGTGTACAAAGAGATTCACCAAACATCCTCTATGACATATTGAACAATTGACCCACCTTCGATATCACCCACATTCCCGGCATTGACGAAGAAATGCGTTCTAAACAAATCTCCAAAGCCGCCTCTACCAGGTCGGAACGGCAACGGCGTAAATAAGTGCAGCCCCCCGGCCCAATACGCTCTCGATCCCAAAGCGTCTCCGTCCGAATGGGGCCCGACGCCGCGCATTTGGAAGCCTCTCATCGACAGAGGTCCGCCCAGGAAGTACATATCGGCCAGGCTGATTTTCAAGTCGTTACTGATGCCAGACATGTAACCACCCATTAGGCATCCTTGGAATACCTAAAAAAATGGAGTATGTAATTCAGAAGCAATCAGAAGTGGGATTGTATTGAAGAAATCAGAAGCGGGATTGTAAGCTAAATAAAGATAAACACAGAACAACTTAGGTCAGGAACCAATAAACCAAATAACGGCAAAATACAGGATAATTCAACAATAAAAGTGAGTCTTGAAAGAAAACCTAATTTAGAAGAGGAACAAAGGAAGAAGGCAAATGAAATTATAAATATAAATGAAGACAGGAAAGATGAAGGATACAAAATAGTGACCAACAGGAAATTTAGAAGACGAAATGAAAAGGAAAAACTAGTCGGAGAAAGAAAATCAGAAAGCAAAGATTTCGCAGTGGAAAAAAAGGTATAGCTGTATTTATTTAGAATTAAAAGAAATATTACAGAAGATGATATAAAAAATTACATAAAGAATCAAACACATTTCAAAGAGGCAAAGATAGAGATCAAAGAATTACCAACTAAGGAGAATCAAACAAAATGTTTCATGTTTGGAATCGATTTCACCTTCAAGGAAGAAATATACAACCCAACGGCATGGCCAAAAAGTGTTGGTTTTAAAAGATTTGGTTTTCAGAAATTTAAAGAATACCAAGATAATAGACAAGCGGATTTTCTATAGGCACAACATTTAAAGAGAACCACTGGGGACAAAAGCAACAAAGGCAAAAAATTAAAAAAAAAAGTAAAGGGGGTGAAACGAAAATTTTTCACCAGAATGTAGTCTTTGGGAAATGCAGTTGACAAACTAGAAGTTTTTGTAAATGCAATTACAGAATACTGGAAATCTATGGAACAATTACAGGAAATTGGTATAAAAAATATAATCTAGCATCAGCTTTCTGTCGGGAAGAAAATAAACATGGAGGAGCAGCAATTTATTGTTACAAAGTACTAAAATTTAAAGAAATAAAAAGAATAACCGAATTGTCAATTAGTGAAGAATTTGAAGTAGCAGCAAGTGAATGTTTTATAGAAAGAGACCAAGTGCTTGCCATTGCAGTTTACAGGCCTAGAAATGGAGACTTTTACGAGTGTTTAAATATTCTTGAACAGCTTTTAACATAGTATGTTTAAAGTTATAATAAATTAGTGTTTATTTTAGGCGACTTTAACATAGATTTAATGGAAGACAAAACCCAGAAAAAGGATTTTGTAAGTTTACTTGATTCATTTAACTTTAAAATATTAATAAACGAACAGACGCGTATCACAATAAACAGAAAAAGTGGCTTAGATAATATTTTATCAAACCATAAGGGTAATTAGTCAAAATTGGTAGTAGAATTACATTGTTCAGATCATACTGCTCAGGTAATAACAGTTCAATTAAGTGATAATGTCAATACGGTTTATTATATACTTATCTTAGATATTTTACAGAGGAAAACATACAAAAATTTCTTTTAGAGCTAAACAAGACTAACTGGGAAGATATAGTCAATGTAAACAGCATGCAAATAGAAAAACAAAGTCCCATTCATTAATATATATTTAGAGAAGTTTAATAAAAATTTTCCATTAAATTATGTAACTGTAAGGAAAACTTGCAAAAAATATCAGCTAACACAAGGTATTATTAATATAAAAAAGCAGCTTGATATAGTACTAATTTTAGCTAGGAACAATGACATGTATAAGGTTCCATACAAATTAATAAAGAAACAATATGATGAATTACTACAGATGAATAAAAAAGATGGTTACGATAAAAGAATCTAACAATAAAACTAAATGTTTATTGGGCATATGTAAAGAAATTACTGGAAATAATGACAAAGAAAATATGGTGATACATGGCGATCCTCTTGAAATCTCAAACAATTACAATATTTTTTTATCAAAAATAGTTCCAAAACTCTTAGATAAACTTCCAGAGATTCCGTACATATGTAGCATCCCAGAAAATAATAAGTCAATTTTTTTAAAACCAATTACACCATCAGAAATAATGGAACTTTCAACCAAAATAAAAAATAAACTCAGTAGTGGGGATGATGGAATTTCAGTAAGTATAATGAAACGTAGTCTACCTGTAATAAAAGATATTTTGACACATATAATTAATAATTCCTTAAAATCGGGTATTTTCCCCAAACAATTAAAGACATTAATGGTAATCCCTATTTTTAAAAATAAAGGTGATCCAGAGTTACTTGAAAATTACAAACCCATTAGTTTGCTACCCGCTTTCTCTAAAGTTTTTGAATTAGTAATGGTGTCAAAAATCACAAGTTTCATGAAGGAAGAAAAGTTATTTAATAATTTCCAGCATGGGTATATTTCAAGGAGATCTACACAAACAGCAATATTTGAATTCACAACTAATATTATAAATTTTTTAGAGAGTAAACAATATGCACTGGGTATCTTTTTAGATTTAGCGAAGGCTTATGACTGTTTAAATCATGATTACTTAAAAATTAAATTAGAAAAATATGGAATTAAAGGGCATGCACTAAAATGGATTGTATCCAGGGCCGCCGAGAGCCAGACCGGGCCCCAGGACAATTCTCCGGATCGGGCCCCGCGACAATTTTATAAAAAAATAAATAACCAAAGGTTTTAAAGCAAAAATTTCTCCTTCTCTACTTCAATTTCTCTAAAAAAAAGGTACTTCCCCCCTCCTGTGTCGAACTTCTGAAAGTAACAAACACCATCGCTACCGGGTTCCCCTTATACCGCTGCCGGGCCCCCATTTGAGCCCGGGCCCCGGGAATTAGTCCCGGCTGCCCCCTCCCCCTCTAGTCGGCCCTGATTGTATCATTTTTAACCAATCGGGAACAAACAGTCAGCATTACGAATGAGGGAAAGCACTTTCAATCGGGAAAAATTAATACCACAGTAGGGATTCCACAAGGAAGCATTATGGGACCACTATTATTTATAATTTACTTAAATGACTTATCATCAGTACCAACTAACACAAAACAAATAATAATAAATTATGTAGATGACTCCAACCTACTAGTGGGAGGGGAAACAATACCAGAGGCAGTGATCAATGGTAATTCACTTTTACAAAGAATAAAGGAATGGTTTTCACAAAACAAGCTGGTACTGAATGCAGAGAAAACTCAATTAATATTATTCAGATCCAAATATAGGCAAATAGATAGACCAAATAATGTTTCCTTGTGCAATCAAGAGCTGGATTTAAGAAATAGCACAAAATTTCTTGGAGTCCATCTGGACGAATATCTTAGCTGGTTGAATCACATAGATAACCTTTCTATTAAGTTAAGTAGGTTAGCATATGGGTTTCGAATCACTAGTAAATATTTGTATAAATAAACAAATTTATCAGTGAATTAATACCAGTTTACAATACAAAAAGCAGGAACTCATGTATCCATATCACCTACTCACGTTAACAAAGAAAAACTCTCGCTACATGGGCACAAAATTGTATAATGCATTACCAGAGAACATAAAAATCATTAACAGTATTAAATTTTTCAAAAAACGCATACGAGAATTATTGATTGGTATGGAACCTTATAGCATGTTGGAATACCTAAATTATAACTTTAATTAGGTTTTCATTAGGTAGTAAACGTGTGACGTCATTTCACAATAATGGTATTTATGTTTATACATACAGAAATCAGAAGTGGGATTATATGAAGAAATCAGAAGTGGGTTTGTATACTAAATGAAGAAATCAGAAGTGGGATTGTATACTAAATGAACAAACGAAGACTCTGATATGGATAAAATACTTACGATATCTGGCAAAATGGAATAGTTGGTTTGCAAGTAGAGATCGTTTTTCAAGAAACCGACATCTCCACCGACGCCTGCGTACTCCGAAGTGAGTTGTAATAAAGAACCCGTTGTGGGGAATATGATTTCGTCCCTCAGGTCTAACGATAGGACGTGTTTGAGAGACGATTTTAAACTCAAACCAGACTCTTTCCTGACGTCAAAAGAGGCATTTCTGGATAGGGTGCTCAAATCTCTGATGTTGCCTTCCCATTGGATGTTGTGTTTTAACTGAAAATAATAGTTAAGGACGAATAATAAGTAATGTTGACAATGTTACAGTAAATTAGTACTTACTAATGACCACGAATAGAAACCTAAATCAAATACCACTCCCTTTTCAAGCATTTTATAGGCTGAAGAAGGAAATTCCATGTGAGATTGAAACATACTTGTAGTTAAACTAAAAATAATTTATTTGTTTTATGTTTTTATCAGTTCATTTAACGTATAATACATAAAAAAATAATTTTTTCTTCAAAAATATGTCTATTAAGTAGCATTTTGAAAGTTATTAATGGGTAAATACAATTTTTCAACAGCTATATACAATTCAGTAGCAATATAAACATATATTTATGTTGTATTGAAAATTTTCTTGGGACATGCATTTAAATAAACATTATTATAATTTAAACATAAAAAAATTACAAGAATACTCACGTTGGACGGTGTTTACCCCTAAAAGGCTTAATAAATGCCAAATTAAAATTGCTAGTTTTCTTTGATCCATGACTATACTCAACTTGCACTCTTTCGCCCCTTCCAAAAATATTTGGCGTCTTTATGCCGATCTGCAGTACACCCTCGTTGTTTCCTACATGTGTACTAACGCCGCCTATTATCCTTTTATGCTCTTTCACATTAAAAGTAACCTAAAATATTTACAAATTAATTTACATTAACTTTCATATAAGATACTTACTTCTAATCCATCAGGAGTAGCTTTGGGTCCCTTACTGGTGTCTATAAATACAGAAATATTCTTGAAGCAACCGAGTTCGTCCAACTTCACTCTTGCCTGAAATTATTTTAAAGATTATAACGATTTTTTTGTTAAGTATTCATACTGACCTTGTGAGCCTTTAACAACACATCTTGAAAGTCTTTAGCTTTGAATAACTCCCTTATGCAATCCTCTATAATATCATTTTTTGTTCTAGACAGCCCATCTATATGTATTTTGTCCACTCTTGCCTAAAATGGAGATTTTAAGATGTACCTATCTATTGACAGAAAAAAGATGAATTAAATAATGATTTAAAATACCTTAACACCTCCTATTTCGATTTCTTTGATTTGTCCTTTATCAGGCAACTCCCTAGCACTGCTCTTTATCTCGGAATGTGCTTCGGTAAAATTTTCTTCAACCTGGAATGTATAGGTTATATTTATTTAGGTTATGCCTACGAATCTAAGATACTCACTTTAGCATGCACGGTCCCCATTTCTGGTTAAAAATATGTATACACGAAATTAAATTTGATACATTTTCACATCCATTCGTCCCTAAAAAATATAAAAATGGATTTTTAAAAATCTGACCGAAGCAAATCCCATTTGATTTGACATAAGTGACATTTATTGAAAGACGTTGCCAACGTTGAAAAATTAATGTAACTGAAAAGTCAATATATTTTGATGGTGTCATCAGCTATAAAAAGATAATTTTTTTCTTTTGATTTATGTTTATAGATGACAGAATCATATAGTCTAGTTCACATAAAATTTATTGCTTTTGATTTAAGAGTTATGTAATGGAGATTTACGTGTTTGGGAATAGCTAGGGATACCAACATATATTTCCAGTTATATCAATTATTTTAGACAGGCCCGGTCTGGCTAGATTTGGGGCCCCTGACGATCTATCACCTCTAGAGCCCCTGTTATTAGGGATATTAAATAACCCCTAGAGGATCGAACAATTAAATGCATATTATTTATAAGAATGCTTTTACGTGTGATTTGCACATTGGAGGAGTACTTTAAAATATTTTTTTCTGAGAAGGGGGTTCCAGACTGAAATTAACATTATCGGATTACATTATTGGGTGGAGGCCCCTGAAAGGTATTTTTCTTAAAACGTGAGATAAATAGAAATCTATTCTTATTACTATTAGTTGTACAGGTAAATTAATAATGCCCTGTCAGTAAATTTAAAGTAACTTCTTTCCAAACATTTTCTCTGTGCTTCTGGGGCCCCTGGCGATCGTATGTTAGCCACCACTTTATTTTTGAATAAAAATAGTAATCTGAACTATTTAAATATTTTTATTACGATAAATATATAACAAATTTTTAAAATATACACTCTTAATTGTTCTCTAATGATTATTTTGAGCCTATCACATAAGATTTTTACCTAATATTAATAATTAATAAAAGTATAAAAAAGATACATTTTTTTGGAACATACAATCTTAACTGAAAGCGTAAATTAACATTATAATTGTACAAAAAGATACTACTAAACCCAAAATAATAGAATCTCGTCTTTTTCTAATATTAATTCTTTGTATTAGACTGTTAATAACTGGATATCTGTTTGAAATATCATTGAATCTCGTCTGGAGACGCTTAAAGGTTTGTCTTTGGGTTGTCAAATGTTCTCTGGTTTCCATTGCTATTGATATTTGTTCATTTACTAATCGATCAGAACTGAAAAAAAAAAAAATTAACAATAGAAAGGTTTTATTCAGTTTTTAGCATTTTAAACTTTGACAGCTTCTCAAACTAAAACCACTAAAAATATCAGTTTAAAGCTTTAGTATGACTTAAAACAAACATTTCTAAATATACATTTAAAATTTTATAATGATACAGCAACTGGTTTATAAATTTATTATATAATTTATTTTTTCAACTTTGTCAACTTGTCAAATTAAAAGCATTATAAATATTAAGTCTGAAATTGTAATATGATGTCAAGAGAATATTTTTAAATAAATATTTAAAATGTTATGACAACAAATTTTCTAGTTTTTAAGTAAATAACAGTTTTCTGAAGATAAGCATGTTATAATCCAACATTCTATTTTAAACTTTGATGGCTTGTCAAAATAAAACCTCTAAAAATAGGAATCTGAAACTTTAGTATTACTTAAAACAAACATTTTTAAATGTACACTTAAAATTTTATAATAATACAACAACTTGTTTTTAGAAAAGTAATAGTTTTCTGAAGGTACGAATTTTATAATATATTTATTATATAATTAATTTTTTCAACTTTGACAACTTGTCAAATTAAAAGCATTATAAATATCAGTCTAAAATTTTAATATGATTCCAATGGAATATTTTAAAATAAATATTTAAAATGTTATGACAATACATTAACTAGTTTTTGAGTAAATAACAGTTTTCTGAAGGTAGGCATGTTATAATCCAGCATTCCATTTTTAAACTTTGACAGCTTGTCAAAATAAAACCGCTAAAAATATGAGTTTGAAACTTTAGTATGACTTAAAACAAACATTTCTAAATATATGTTTAAAATTTTATAATGATACACCAACTTGTTTTTAGAAAAGTAATAGTTTTCTGAAGGTACGAATTTTATAATATATTCATTATAATTTATTTTTTCAACTTTGACAACTTGTCAAATTAAAAGCATTATAAATATCAGCCTGAAATGTTACTATGATATCAATGGAATATTTTTAAACAAATATTTAAAATGTTATGACAATACATTAGCTAGTTTTTGAGTAATTAACAGTTTTCTGAAGGTAGGCATGTTATAATCCAGAATTCCATTTTTAAACTTTGACAGCTTGTCAAAATAAAACCTCTAAAAATGTGAGTCTAAAACTTTAGTATGACTTAAAACAAACATTTCTAAATATACATTTAAAATTTTATAATGATACAGCAACTGGTTTTTGGAAAAGTAATAGTTTTCTGAAGGTACGAATTTTATTATATCCCATTTCTTTTTTCAGCTTTGACAACTTGTCAAACTGAAAGCATTAAAAATATAAGTCTGAAATTTTAATATGATGTAATTAGAATATTTTTAAATACTTGTGTAAAATTTTATTACAATACATTAGTTAATTTTTAAATAATTAACAGTTTTCTGAAGGTAAGTATTCAATTTTTAAACTTTGTCAGCAGCTCAAAATTAAAGAACAGTAACAGTCTGAAACTTTAGCAGGACTTAAAGCAAACATACATGTACATAAAAACTTACTTGTGGACATGCTGATTCTCTTTCAAATATATATCGCGCCTATTATTGACACCGTCAGCTCTAAAACTCTCAGACCCTCTAAGCAAGTCCTCTCTTTGCCTTTGTGACTCTCTTAGAGAGTTGGTCTTTCTATAGTCCCTAGACAAATCTGCCAAAATGTCTTTGTGTCTCTGCAATGTATGCATCATAGCTGCGCCAGTAACTGGTTGTTCAGACAATCGTTCATTAATATTTGATAACTAAAAGAGATGTATTATTACTGGAAAGTTGGTTTAGTTAATTAGTTATAATGTAGCAGGTTATATTATTGTAACATTTATTAACTTACTTTAGTTAGTAACTCTTCTATTTCTATAGACATGGCTTCGAAAGTGTCATCGCCGGATAGCAATGGTATAGTATCTGGGTGACTAGCATTAGGCGTCTTTATTCCAGCTCCCAGCTTGCTAAACGCGACTAGTTTTAAATCTATTTCGTTTTCCAGTTGTCTTGCCTGCTTTCGCAGGTCTAAAAGGTAAAATAAATATTACAAATACGTAGGAAAATTGGAAACACATAACTAAGATTTGTGATGTATTAAGAGTTAATTGATGTTGTTATTGACGGTTAAGGAAGGAAACAACAGTTAATGAAAGGGTGAATAATTGTATTTTTAACTTTTACCCTCGTAAGACAACACTATAGCCATTTCTCACAGAAATTTTGGAAAATAATATTTTTGCCAACTGTTTTGAGTAATTTTATTAGTCTGTCTAATGGGGTGACAGTTGACAGAATGTCGTGTCTCATCTTCTTTTTTTTTTAATAAATAAGACTCTAGCCAGTTTACCGGTTCAAGTAGTATCCCAATTACACTGTTGCCATTTATAAGATTGATCCGATGGCAGACTTGACTCGTACCTAAAACTCTTAAAAGGTTTTGCAGTTCTTCCACTTAAAATTCATGCGATAGGGCTAAAAAGTCATAAAATCTATAGACATGTACGTTGAATTATCAAAATGTAGCAAAGAAAATTGGTGATAACTGTGTTTTCAATATCACCAATCAAAATAAAATTTAGGTACTTGAAAACATTTGTATAAATTATAAAGCAGTAACAAATTAAAAATCTTATTTGTACTTTACCTTTTTTTTAGAATTGCCATTAATTTTTTTGGCTAGCGACTTTTTAGCTTTTATGGTTTACAAATTTGCTGGCTACGATTTTTTTGGCCGTTTTTATCTTTTTGTGGCTTGCGATTTTTTACTTGCTATTTACAAATTTACCCACTTTTCAGTCCTATTAACATTCATTAAATATTGGTTTCAATTTTGATGGTTTAACTCTAAATTTTGATGACGAAGGTTTTTGGGTTGATTTTTTTGGCTTTTTATTTTTGTGTGGCTTGCAATTTTTTTACCTCATAGTTTTTTCTTAGCTCATAATTTACAAATTTATATCTGTATCTGTGTGTGGAGGGTAGGTTACCCCACGGCACTTAGGCCTCATTAGGCCCATAGTGCATCCTCCTGAGGATAACTTAAGAGCTCGCAGGCAACTCTGCAGTTTCATCCCATCCCATCTTTCCTTGAATTTCACTAGGAATGTTCTTTGATTAGGCCTGTCACTACCGATTTTGTCAGGCCAATAAAAGGGCCAGGTCCAAAAAGTATTTGGTTTGCTGCTTTCTTGGCTAGTGAATCAAGACGGTTACCTTTCGATGTGGCGTGACCTTTAATCAATCTTAAGGTGACCACATTGTTGATGGATACTTCTGCCAAAGCTTCGTGACATTCTAGTACTAACCCTGAGTAAATTCGTGGTCTGTTCAGGGTGGGTAGTGCTTGTCTGCTATCTGTATAGATGAGCATATGTTCCTTCCAGTGATATTGTTTCTGGTTATTTCTTTTGCTGCTATGATAATCCCCGTTAGCTCTGAACTACACTGGCACTATTGCTCACAGCCCATTTTATGTTTAAGAATCTGGAGTATATTCCACATCCAGAGCCTTGTTTTGTTTTAAAACCGTCGGTGTAGATATGAATCGTACCTGCCACTTCTGGCTCTTCTATTGTTAGAAGTTAAAATAATTAACTTCAAAATTATTGTTTTTAAATGATTTAGCACCCTGTATAGCCACTTCATAAAACACGTGTTACCATGGTTTTATAACGTTTTATTAAATATCTCGTATACAATGTTTGAAATGTAATTAATTAAGGAACAAAATAAAGAATGTCTTTAAAGGGCATAAGGCCTATCACCTTATAGCGTTCGGCTGGTTGAACGTCAAGTCCCCGCTCTCTCCTGGTCCTGGACACTGAAACGGGTAGACGTGGTATTGTCGACCCCAGTGGCGGCGATATCCTAATTCGCTGACTCTTAACACTATTATAACTCGATGAGATGGAGTCCATGGTCGCTTAAAGCAGTGGGAGGGTATCGAGCGGCTCCTTCCAAAAGCGACGTCTCGCCTCACCAGATCCTACATCAGGTTCTATTCCAATCGTGGGGAGGCGTGTCATTGTTGTCAGAGCAACCTCCTTGATGTAAATATCAAGGGGAGTGAGACTAAGAATGACTTCCATGGCTCTAGTCGGTGTTGTTTTCATGGCTCCTGTTATGTTGAGACATGCTCTTCTTTGAATTTGTTCTAGTTTACGGAGAGCTGTTAATTTTTGGGTTTTCGGTACCCAGACAACTGCACCGTATGTTAGCATAGGTCTTATGATAGCCGTGCAAGTCCACGTGACGACTCTGAGGGAGATATCACAGGTGCGCCCCACGGTTCGGTCGCATTGTTCATAAGCGATGTATGCTCTTTTAACTCTGTTACAAATTTATATTTTACCTGCTACTTACCCACATCTTCATCCAAATTAACATTCATTTTAAATATTTCTTCTAATTTTGGTGGCTGTCGTGTTTTTTTTTTGGCTGTTTATTTTCTGGATTGTGAATTTTTTTGACTGGTAATTTTTTAACTTTGCTTTGTATTCACAAATTTAAATTTTACCTGCTACTTACACCCACTTCTCCTTCCAATTAACATTAAATAAATATTGCTTCTAATTTTGATGGCCTACGTATTTTGTTATATTTTCTTTTGTGGCTTATTTTCTGGCTTGCGATTTTTTGCCCGTCTTAGGATGTTCTGCTTTTTGAGGCTTGTGATTTATGACTTGTAATATTTTAGCTCATAGTTTGTCTTAGCTTGTGATTTACATTTTACCGTCCTACTGCCCACGTCTCCTTTCAATTAATATTAATTGAGTATTGCTTCTAATTTTATTGACAGCCTTTTTTGGTTTGTGATTTTTTTGGCTGTAAATTTTTTTCCTGCGATTTTTTAGGCTTTCTTTTCTTGACTTGTAGTTTAGATTTTACCTGCTATTTCCCCATTTCTCCATCCATCAAATGGAAATTTTCTTAGCTGGCGGTTTTTTGGCATCAATTTTTAAAATTGTAATTTTTTGGCTTGTGATTTTCAAATTTATATTTTACCTGCTATTAAATATTGCTTCTAATTTTGTCGGCTGTGGTTTTTGGGTAGTGACATTTTTGGCTGTTTATTTCCTGGGTTGATTTTTTTGGCAGGTGATTTTTTAGCTTGTAGTTTTTTCTTGGCTTGTGATTTACAAGTATAAATTTTAACTGCTACTTACCCATTTTCTCCGTCAAATTAACATTCTTTAAATATTGCTTCTAATTTTAATGGCCGACGTTTTTCGAGTTATACAGGGTGAAATGCAAATTTTCTTGTCATGAATTTTTATATTGCTTCTCATTTTGTTGGCTGATTTTTGTGTTGTGACTTTTTTTGCTGTTTATTTTCTGGGTTGTAATTTTATTTAGCTGGTGATGTTTTAGCTTGCAATTTTTTCTTTGCTTATCCGCTTCTCCTTCCAATTAACATTAATTGAGTATTACTTATTTTATTGTCAATACTTTTTTTGGCTGTTTGTTTTTGGGCTGTAATTTTTTTGCCTGCTATTTTTTAAGGTTTTCTTTTTTGACTCATAATTTAGAAATTTATATTTTACCTGCTACTTACCCACTTCTCCATCCAATTGACATCCATTAAATGCAAATTTTTTTAGCTGACGGTTTTTTGGCATTAATTTTTAAAATTGTAATTTTTTTGGGTATTATTCTAATTTTATTGACAATACTCTTTTGGTTTGTGGTTTTTTTGGCCGTTTATTTTTGAGCGGTAATTTTTTTGCCTGCTATTTTTTAGGTTTTCTATTTTGACTTGTGTTTAAAAATTTATATTTTAGCTGCTACTTAGCCACTTCTCTATCCAATTGACATCTATTAAATGCAAATTTTCTTGCTTGACAGTTTTCTGGCTTGAATTTTTAATATTGTAATTTTTTTAACGTGTGATTTTCAAAATTATATTTTACCTATTAAATATTGCTTCTAATTTTGTTGGCTGTTTTTTGGGTAATGCTTTTTGGCTGTTTATTTTCTGGGTTGTGATTTTTTAGCTTGTAGTTTTTTCTTGGCTTGTGATTTACAAATTTAAATTTTAACTGCTACTTACCCACTTTCTCCGTCAAACTATCATTCTTTTAATGTTGCTTCTAATTTTAATGGCCAACGTTTTTTGAGTTATGTTATCATTTGGGGTTTATTTTCTGGCTTGTGATTTCTAAATTTATATTTTATCTGCTACTTACCCACGTCTCCATCTAATTAACATCCAATAAATGCAAATTTTCTTGGCTGAAGATTTTTTGGCTTGACTTTTTTAACTTGCGATTTTTTGGCTTGTGATTTTTTAGTTCGTAGTTTCTTTTTGGCTTGTAATTTACAAATTTATATTTTACCTGCTACTTACGCAGTTCTACATCCAATTAACACCCAACAAATGCAAATTTTCTTGGCTGACGATTTATTGGCTTGACTTTTTAACTTGTGATTTTATTTGTCTTGTGATTTTTTAGTTTCTAGTTTCTTCTCGGCTTGTGATTTACAAATCTAATTTTACCTATTACTTACCCACCTCTCAATTCAATTAACATCTATTAAATGCTAATTTTCTTGTCTTTTTTTCTGTAATGATTTTTTTAACTCGGTTTTTTTCTTGGTTTACAGGTGTACAATAATTTACCTGCTACCTGCTTGTGATTTTTTGCTTGCGATTTTTATGCTTGTTTTATGCTTGTGATTTTTTTTGCTTGTGATTTTTTTGGCTTATGATTGTCAAAATTCTATTTTTGAGTTACATTATTTTTTTTACCCCTTAATATTGTTTTCAAATATAATAAAATATACAAATACAAACATTTTTTTCAACCATTTTTTTTTACTTAGCAATCTAAGTAATATATTATTTTTTTTCTTTATTTATCTTTTTAATGTTTTCGATTTGTATTTTTATTTTTTTTTTATCCGAGGGGTACTTTGTTTATTTTTTTTTCTTATAGATAATGATAATAATAACTTTTTAACATCATTAAATTTATACAAACAAAAATATGGTCGAGAATTTTCGTTTCGTATTTCCCAAAATAAAATATGTATAGAAAAAAGTTTTTTCAAGGAAAATTCTCGATTGACAGTATGGCAGAAATTTGGAAAAATATGTCCAAAAATCGATCACTTGGTGTTAAAATATTTTGACAGGACATCACAAAAATCCTGTTGACTAAAAAAATATCAAATCGGTACAATTTCATCCAAATTTCTGCCAAAAAAACGTCAGGCGTTATTAATTCTAAGCTATGAAGTATAACAAACATTTTTTTGTACATAAAATGATTGGTTAATAACCGTCAGTAAAAAAAACAGTCAATCCTATATCTAATTCATCACATTCGACAGTTTTTTTACCAAAACAAATTCAAAAAATCGAAAAAGCAATACAGTGTGTCGAGATGGTAAAAAAAACATCCTGGTAGGTAAAACTGGTGGCTACTATCGCCTCCAAGAGCGGTCCTCCTCGTCTTCGTCGTCGTCGTCCTGCAGGAGAGCCTCTTCGGATATTTCCGGTCCCAACTATTTAAAAACAAAACGTTATCCATAAAAAAATTATATTGCAAAATTTTATAAATTCAACTGGACTATCATCATCAATTCACTTCGTAATAGTCACGGAAAATTTTAGACTTTTTTAAAACATGATGTCGGTGCTATGCCAAAGCAATGAATGTGTAAATTTGTCACTTTCATGTTTTCAGCGAAAAAATATTTATTTTATAGTACTAATAACTATATTAAAATTTTTAAATAGTTAACATAATTATTATACAACGTGATTTATGATATTATTATGAATTTATAACTTTTAAAAAACTAATAAACTGCACATACCTATGCGGATTTGGCAGGGAAACGATATGTTCAAAATAAAAATATATTCAAAGAATAGTAGTAAATCTTAATAATTAATTAGTTAATAATGCAAAAAAGGATTTAATATGAAATTTGTTCTACATAAAACAGGTACTTTTCAATTATAAAGATGCGACAGTTATGAATTACAAATGAACTACTTTTTAGTTAAAAGTAATAAGATGCATTTGAACTACTTCTAGGAAGATGCTGATTTACATTAAAACTAGTCAAATTAAAATGGTAGAGGTGAATTAATTCTCAAATTGGCAATTTCTTGGTAAAAAAAAATAGTAAGATACGTTTGAACTACTCTTCCGAAGCATATTTGAACCAAAAACTACTCAAACTAATATTGCACAGAAGAACTACGTCATAAATGAGGCACTATTTCGTTAAAAATATTAAGATACATTTGAACTACTACTTAAAACAGGTATTTTTTAATTTGACAGATGTGAAAGCGTTGTATTACAGGTCAATAACTTAAATTTACCACTTGCATTTGAACTACTACTAGAAAGAGGCGTAGTTATAATAGTCAAATTAATTTGGTTTAGAATTACTTTTTAAATTTGAATTCATTTTTTTTATTATAAAGAAGCGCCTAGTATTGAATTACAAATGAACTATTTTAATAAATATTTTTATTAAAAAATGTAATAAGATCCATTTGAACTACTCATAAAAAGAGGCAAGTTTACACCAAAACTTGTCAAATTAATAGAGTACAAGTGAACTACTCATAAAAAGAGGCGAGTTTACATCAAAACTTGTCAAATTAATATGATACAAATGAACTACTTAAACGGAACATTTCTTAAAAAAAAAATACGGTACATTTAGACTAATTTAAAGAAGCATATTTGAAAAAAATCTAGTCAAAGTACTATAGTACAGCTGAAGTACTTAAATATATATTTTTTAATTATAAAGAAGCAGCAGTGATGAATTACAAATGAACTACTTAAAATCGGCATTTTTTAATTAAAAGTAATAAGGTACATTTGAACTACTCCTGGAAAGATTTTTTACACTAAAATTAGTCAAATTAATACAGTACAGGTAAACTACTTCCTAAATTTACAATTTCTTGGTTAAAAATGCCAAAATACATTTGAACTACTTCTTAATAATCAAAAAGATGCGAAAGTATTGTACTTATAGCCAACAACTTAAATCGATCACTTCTTTAGTTAAATGTACCAAGATGCATTTGAACAACCCTTGTAAGAAAGGTATTTATAATAAATCTAGTCAAATTAATACGGTTCAGGTTAAATACTTCTTAAATGACCATTTATTGGTTAAAAACAATATAAGATACAATTAAACTACTCCTAAAAACAGGTATTTTTTTAATTACAAAGATGTAATAAGATGCATTTGAACTACTCCTAGAAAGAAGTGAATTAATAATTTCTTATTTAAAATGATAAGGTACATTTGAACTACTCTTTTAAACAGATCAAATACTTAAATCGTCCATTTTTTTCAATAAAATTAACAAGATCCATTTGAACTACTCCTAAAAAGAAGCTACTTTAATGCACTAAAATTAGTCAAATACAGTACAGGTGAACTATTTCCTAAATTGACCATTTCTTGGTAAAAAATAATAATATACATTTGAACTACACCTTAAAACAGGAATTTTTACAGATACTTAAATCGTCCATTTTTCATGAAAATTAACAAGAACCATTTGATCTACTCCTTGAAAGCAGCCTATTTATAATAAATCTAGTCAAATTAATAAGATTCAGGCAAATTACTTCTTAAATGGCCATTTCTTAGTTAAAAATAATAAGATACATTTGAACTACTCCTTAAAATGTCCTTTTTTTTTGTTAAAATTAATAAGATAAATGTGGCCTACTCCTAGCATGACGTGAGTTGCAAATTATTATGGTACAGGAGAATTACCTCTTAAACTGACAATTTCTTGGTTAAAAATTATAAAATACATTTGAACTATTTTTTTTAAATTATAAATATGCGACAGTGATAAAGTACAAATGAACTACTTAAATCGACCATTTTTTCGTAAAATGTAATAGGATGCATTTGAACTACTCTTGGAAAGAAGCAAGTTCGCACTAAATCAATCAAATTAATATAGTGCAGGTGAACTACTTCTTAAAATGATCATGTCTTGGTTAAAAATGACAAGGTATATTCGAACTATTTATTAAAACAGGAAGTTTTTCATTTAAAAATATGCGACGTGAATAATTACAAATGAACTACTTAAATCGACCATTGTTTTATCTTTAAATGTTATAAGTTGCATTTGAACTATTCCTAGAAAGAAGTGAGTTTATACTAAAACCTGCAAATTAATATGGTACAGGTGAACTACTTATTGTACTGACCATTTATGAATTACAAATGAACTACTTAAATCGACAATTGTTTTACCTTTAAATGTAATAAGATGCATTTGAACTACTCCTAGAAAGAAGCGAGTTTGCACTAAAACCAATCAAATTAATATGGTACATTTGAACTACTCTTCTAAATATGCCAAAAAAACTAGTCAAGGTACTGTAGTAAAGCAGAAATACTATTTAAAACAAATATATTGAAGTCAATAAATAATAATATTAACTATTCTGCAGAAAAATGTTTTAGACAAAAAAGGTGGGGAATTTCATTAACCTCAAAAAAGATAAACATGAATTTTATGACAAAAATGTCATTATGAAATATATTTGCAGAGATGATTAAAATTTTTAAGAAACATCTCAAAAAAATATAGACTTTTACTGTACTATTACAAAATAAAATAATAATAGCCCAGTGGAATTTAAATATTTATAAGAAATTATACCCAAACGGTTTCAAAATTATTATTTTCGATTGACTTACCTCTTCATCGCCGTCAAGTAGACTAGAATCGATTAATTGCTCCTCTTCGGTTTCCGAGAGTATCACCGTCCTGGTAGAGCCGGTACTTCGCTGCCTATTCAACTGTTTGCTGTTGCTCCATGTTATCGACAAAGTACGGTCCTAAAAAGTACAAAAATATAAATTAATCATTGGTGAAACAATATTCGACGATGTATGAGCCTTACCTGGAAATTTTTTCCTTTCAATAAGGCCATTTCGGCTTCTTTTCGAGTTTTGTAGTTCAACGTAATGCTGGGGAGGGAGGAATCTACTTCGTAATCGGCTATCTCGCCGTATTGCTGTAAAAAATGATAATTTTTATAAAACATTTGAATTGAAGATGTTTTTTGAACAATTTTTGAACTTTTAGTACTTTTTTTTAACACAATTTGATTTTATTACAAACTGAACAACACTAGGACTTATTATATATATATATATATTATATATATATATTTTTTCTTTTTAGTTCACATAATCAAAACTAGAACTTTAGAACCAAATTTTGAACTTTGGGTACTTTTCTTAAGACTTTAAACAGATTATTTTTTTAATAAATTCCGAAACTGAAAAATTATAAATTTTATAAAATTTTTGAGTTTAAATAATCAAAAATAGAACTTTAATAGTGTTTTTTAGAGCAAATTTTGAAGTTTTAAGTACTTTTTTGAGCAAAATTCAATTTTATTACAGATTCAACAAAATTAGGACTATAAACAGTATTTTTAAGCAAATTACAAAAGAAAACAAAAATTTTGAGTTTAAATTATCAAAACTAGAACTTTAATAGGACTTTTTTCGAACAATTTTGAATTTTAAGTACTTTTTTGTAGATTGAACAAAATTAGGACTTTAAACAAATTATTTCTGAGCAAATTCTGAAATTTTTGAGGTTTAATGATCAAAATAAAACTTCAATAGGGTTTTTTCGAGCATGTTTTAAAGTTTAATTACTTTTTTACAGATTAAACGAAACTAGTACTCTAATTGAACTTTTTTTTAGCAAATTTCGAAATTAAAAAAAAAAAAAGATTTTTATAAAAATTTTGAGTTAAAATAAACAAAAATAGAACTTTAATATGGGTTTTTGAGCAAAATTTGAACTTTTAAATACATTTTTTAGTACAATTTAATTTTATTAGAGATTGAGCAAACTAGGACTTTAAACAGATTTTTTTTGAGCAAATTACGGAATCCTAAAAAATGATAATTTTTATAAAATTTCTGAGTTTAAATAAGCAAAACCAGGATTGCTTCAAGCAAATTTTGAACCTTAAGTACTTTTTGTGAGTACAATTTGATATTATTAGATTGAGCAAAACTAGGACTAAAAGAGATTTTTTTTTGAGCAAATCCTCGAAATCCTAAAAAAAATGGATAATTTTTATACAATTTCTGAGTATAAACAAAACTAGGATTTTTATCAAGCAAATTTTGAACTTTAAGTACTTTTTGAGTACAATTTCATTTTATTAGAGATTCAGCAAAACTAGGACTTTAAAACCGATTTTTTTGAGCAAATTGAATTCCTAAAAAAATGATAAACAAAATTAGGATTTTTTCAAGCAAATTTTGAACTTTAAGTACTTTTTGTGAGTATGATTTGATTTTATTAGAAATTGAACAAAACTAGGACTCTAAACATATTTTTTTGAGCAAATCTCGAAATTCTAAAACATCATTTTTATAAAATTTCTGAGTTTAAACAAAATTAGGATTATTTCAAGCAAATTTTGAACTTTTAGTGCTTTTTGTAAGCACAATTTGATTTTATTAGAAATTAAGCAAAAACTAGGACTTTAAACAGATTTTTTTGAGCAAATCTCATAATCCTAAAAAAATTGCAATTTTTATAAAATTTCTGAGTATAAATAAACAAAATTAGGATTTTTTCAAGCAAATTTTGAACTTTAAGTACTTTTTGTGAAGACAATTTGATTTTATTAGAGAATGAACAAAAACTAGGACTTTAAACAGATTTTTTTGAGCAAATCTCATAATCCTAAAAAAATTGCAATTTTTATAAAATTTCTGAGTATAAATAAACAAAATTAGGATTTTTTTCAAGCAAATTTTGAACTTTAAGTACTTTTTGTGAGCACAATTTGATTTATTAGAGATTGAACAAAAACTACGACTTTAAACAAATTTTTTTTGATCAAGTTTTGAAACATACTATTTTTGAGATTAAACTATCAAAACTAGAATTTTGAATTTTAATTACTTTTTAGAGTACAATTTGATTTTATTTTGAGCAAATTCCAAAACTAAAAAAATATTTTTTTTATACAAATTCTGACTTTACAAAGATTTTTTTTGAGCAAATTCCAAAACTAAATGTTTTTTTTTTGAGCTAAAACTGTCCGCTTGTCAATCTACTTACTTGGAAGTGACTCAAAACGCTGTCTTGCTCATCGGTCTCGTAACCTGAAACAAGAAGCCTCGTAGGTCTATGATCTACGGTGTGTTTTTGGAAAGCCGCCGCCACTGGAGCCGTCATAGCAGTCAAGGATGTCGCCGAGGGCGTCCTGTTGATGCGCAAATTTGGTTTTGGTTCTGAAAATTTAAAACGGTTGATACGTTCAATATTTGCGTGATATTTTTGAGCAAAAATGAGTTTTTTGAGCAATTTTTTTTTGACTAAAATCAATTTTATTTCCACTAATGAATAACCTGCGATACAACCAGATTTATATCCATTAGAAACATAAATTTCTTGTAATTTTTAAAAGAATATCAAACGAAACTCACTTAGATTGTTTTTGCTGAGCAAATGTCGGCTGACGATCGGGTATCTTCTGCCGACGCCTCTGCCTCTGGTCGGTTTAACGCTACATGCAACCTTTGCCCTTAGTTCGGCCAGTTTCTTCACTAGCTCAGTCGTATCGGCGCCCTCTTGTTGCTTGGTGATCAGATCCAATTCGGCGTCCAACAGTTCTTTCTGCGTTTCTTCTTTGGTCTTTTTGACGGGAGCGTTTTTGGCCGCCAAAGCGGCCGATTCGAGATCCTTCTTTATCTCCTCGATGGCCTCTTGGGTTTTCTTGATGGTTTCTTTGATCACGTCTCGTTGTGGGCCAGCCGGAACTGAAAGGACGTGGAAGAATTTAGTTAAAAAAATATCTGCGCAATTTACGTCAAAAAATCCGCACCAACTAAATAACCTTCCCAATTTAAGTCTGCGCCATGTTTGTCCACAATTTTTGTTTAAATATTTACACAATTGTAAACTAAATGTACGCGCAATTTTGTATAAATATATACGCATTTTTGTTCAAAAAAAAAAAAAAAAAATTGCATTTGAACTACTAGAAACGAGTTTACATTAAAACCTGTCAAATGAGTATGATATAGGTGAAGTTTGCAAAAATCGACTAGTTTTTGATAAATGTAAAAAGATGCATTTGAACTACTCCTAGAAAGAAGCGAGTTTACACTAATATCTGTCAAACTATTATGCGAATTTTTTTTCCAAAAACCTTCGTCCCTTTGGTACAAACAACTGCGCAATTTTGATTTAAATATTTGCGCAATTTTTATCAAAAAATGCTTAATTTTTGTCTAAAAACCTGCGCCACTTTTCTCCAATATTATGCCAATTTTTTAGTTAAATATTACAAGATGCATTTGAACTACTTCGATAAAGAAGCGCGTTTACACTAAAATATATACAAAGTCTAAGCATATGTGTAATTTTTGTTACAAAAGTGTTAACTTTTTTTGTACAAATACCTGCGGCGTTTTGTTTTAAATATCTGCGCTAGTTTTGTCCAAATTATTGCCCAACAGTTATCTAAAAATCTGTACCACTAACGTCCAAAATCGACCAATTTTTAATTAAATGTAACAAGATGCATTTGAACTACTCCTAGAAAGAAGCGGGTTTACACTATTGCCTGTCAAATAAATTTGCGCAATTTTGTCTAAATATATAAGCAGTACAAAAATCTTCGCCTATTTTGTTCAAGCACCTGCGTAATTTTTGTTTAAATATTTTCGCAATTTTTACCTACGTTTGTTCTAAAACTGACCACTGCATTTGAATTGCTCCTAAAATAAAACGGGTTTACATTAAAACCTGTCAAATTATTATTGCGCAATTTTGTCCCAAAGTCCCAAAATTTTCGCCCGTTTTGTACAATTACATGTACAATTTTAGTTTAAATATCTGAGCAATTTTTATCTAAATGCGCAATTTCTAAAATAAAGCGAGTTTACACAAAAATCTGTCAAATTATTAAATGCGCAATTTCGTCTAAAAATCTACCAATTTTGGTTTAAATATTTGCGCAATTTTAATTAAAATAGCTGCACAATTTTTATATAAATAAATGAGCATTTTCTCTAAAAAAAAAATATATGCCACTTTGGACAGAAAATAGATCAATTTTTAGTTAACAACAAGATGCATGTCAACTACTCTTAGAAATAAGCAGGTTTACACTAAAACCTGTCAAATCATTATGCGCAATTTTTTTCTTATTGCACAACAAGACACATTTGAACTACTAAAAAAGCGAGTTTACATTAAAACCTGTCAAATCAATATGCGCAATTTTGTCTAAATATATGCACAATTTGTGCCCAACAATCTTCGCCTTTTCTATAAACAACTGCGCAATTTTAGTTTAAATATCGGCGCAATTTTTAATAAATAGGCAATTTTTGTCTAGGAATCATTGCCATGTATATGTCCAAAACTGATAAATTTTTGTGAAAAAATTTGCGCAACTTTTGTCCAAAATTTGACCGCACTATTTTAAATGTAACAAGACACGTTTGAACTACTAAAAAGAAGTGAGTTTACACTACAACCTGTCAAATTAATATGCGCAAATTTGTCTAAATTTATACGCAACTTTTGTCCAAAAATATTCGCCTATTTTGTAAAAACTGCGCAATTTTTTGTCTAAAAAATTGCGCAATTTTTGTCTAGAAATCAGTGCCATTTATGTGTTCAAAAACTGACCAATTTTTTGTCTAAAAAATTGCGCAACTTTTGTCTAAAATTTGACCACACCAAGTTAAATGTAACAAGACACATTTGAACTACTAGAAAGAAGCGAGTTTACACTGAAACCTGCCAAATTTTTATGCGTAATTTCGTCTAAATATATACACAATTTTTGTCCAAAAATCTTCGCCTATTTTGTACAAACTGCGCAATTTTTAATAAATGAACAATTTTTGTCTAGAAATCAGTGCCATTTATGTGTCCAAAAACTGACAAATTTTTGTCTAAAAATTTGCGCAACTTTTGTCCAAAATTTGACCACACCAAGTTAAATGTAAAAAGACACATTTGAACTACTAGAAAGAAGCGAGTTTACACTAAAAATTGTCAAATTATTGTTCGCAATTTTATTAAAATATATGCTCAATTTTTATCCAAAAATCTTCACCTCTTTTGTACAAACAACTGCGCAATTTTACTTTAGATATCAGCACAATAATAAATGAGCAATTTTTGTCTAGAAAACTGTCATTTATATGTCCAAAAACTGAAAAAGTTGTCTAAAAATATGCGCAACTTTTGTACAAAATTTGACCACTCTAAGTCAAATGTAACAAAACTACTACTAAAAAGCTAGTTTACACTAAAACTCGTCAAATTAGTATGCGCATTTTTGTCCAAATATGTGCACAATGTGTCCAACAATCTTCGATTCTTTTCTACAAACTGTACAATTTTAGTTTAAATATCGACACAATTTTTAATAAATGAGCAATGTTTGTCTATAAATCAGTGCCATTTATATGTCCAAAAAACGGACAAATTTTTGTCAAAAAATTTGCGCAACTTTTGTTCAAAATTTGATCACACTAAGTTAAATATAGCAAGACACGTTTGAACTACTGGAAAAAAACGAGTTTACACTAAAACTTGTTAAATTATTATGCGCAATTTTGTATAAATATATGCTCAATTTTTATCCAAAAATTTTAGCCTCTTTTGTATTAACAACTGCGCAATTTTACTTTAGATATCGGCGCAATTATTAATAAATGAACAATTTTTATCTAGAAAACTATCATTTATATGTCCAAAAACTGACAAATTTATGTCTAAAAATCTGCGCAACTTTTGTCCAAAATCTCAGTAACAAGACATTTGAATTACTAGAAAGAAGCGAGTTTTTACTAAAACCTTCAAATAGGCGCAATTTTCGTCCAAAAATCTTCGCCTCTTTTGTAATAACACATGCAAAATTTTAATTTAAATATTTGCGCAATTTTTATCTAAATAAATGCGCAATTTTTGTTGAAAAATGTGTTCCACTTTTGTCCAAAAACTTAACACTATTTTAGTCACATGTAACAATATGCATTTGAACTACTTCTAGAAAGAAGCTAGTTTATACCAAAACTTGCTAACTTAATATGCGCAATTTTATCTAAATATAGGATTAATTTTTGTCCAAAAATCTTTGTTTCATCTGCATAACATCTTTTATGCGCAATTTCTATGTAAATAAATGCACAATTTTTGTCTAAAAATCTGCACCACTTTTGTCTAAAAATAGAACACTTTTTTTAGTTAAATATAACAAGATGCATTTGAACTACTTCTTAAAAGAGGTAAGTTTACATTAAAAGCTGTCAAATTAATAGGTCTAATTTTGCCTTAAACATATGTGCAATTTTTGTCCAAAAAATGTTCACTATATTTGTTCAAAAATCTGGGCAATATTACTAATAAATATCCCAGCAATTTTTGTCTAAATATGTGCGCAATTTTTGTTCAAAAATCTGCGCCACTTTGGTGCGCAATTATTATCTAAGTCTGTACCAGCTTTGTACGAAAATCTGCGCAATTTTTGAGCCACCCGCAAATATTATTATTATAAAGCAAACTTACGTTTCTCCATCTTCTCGATCAACACCTTCTGCTGCGACAGCTGCTTATCGAGCAACTCCTGCTTCTTTTTGCGCAGATCGCTCTGTATCTTCAGCACCTGCTTCCGTTGCACGTCCTGGTTCTTCTTGACCTTCACCTGCGTCGCTATCAACTCCTGGTTCTTCTTTATCGCCTCGTTGGCCTCCTTTTTGCTCTCCTCTTTGGTGACCGCTTTCAGCTTAAGCTCGTCCTCGGTGAGGGGCGGCGAATCGCCGGGATTCTCGTCGGCCTTCGGTTGCACTAGATTCAAAACTTTGTTAGTGTTCGGCGGAACAGGCGATGTGCCCCCGAGGCGGTCCTTGACGGAGCGCTGGTGCGCCGGAGGCACGTTCTCCTGTTTACCTTCGCCGAGCGGCGGTTGGTTGACGTTGTGCCAAAAGACCTTGATGAAGCGGTTGTTGAGGACGGCCTCGGTGCTGCGGTAGGCGGCGTTCGCTTCCGCGTGACTAGAAAAGGTGATCAGGGCTGCTTCGGAGTCGCCTTCGTAATGTACCTGTCAATAAAAATTAATATTATTTTTTTTAAAGCTTCCTTTTTTCCAAAAAAAATTTTTTTGCAGTAGGTAGTCATTTTTCAGATAGAAATTACATTTTTTTGGTAGTAGTGTCAATTTTTGTTTAGATGTCATTTTTTTTTTTTTTTTCATTATTATATGCCTCTTTTTAGCCAGAAGTTTAATTTTTGTCAGAAATGTGTCTTTTTTTATCAGAAATATGATTTTCAAAAGAAAACAGACACATGGTTGTTTGTAGTAATGTCATTTTTGTTTCAATTGTGTCATTTTATTTACCAGAAAATATTTTTTTTTTTGTTAGATATGCCTATTTAGCTAGAAGGTAGAAATGTCTTTTTTTGGGAATAGTCATTTATCAGAAAAAAGATACTTTTTTTTAATATTGTCATTTTTTGTTCAATGTGTCATTTTATTTACAAGAAGAGAATTTTTGTCATATTATGTGCCTATTTTACTTAGAAATAAAATTTGTTTTGTCACAATGTCATTTTTTTACAGAATAGTCATTTTTCAGAAAAAAGAGGCATGGTTTTCAGTAGTATTCTTTCTTAGCTTAGATGTGTCATATTATTTACTGAAAGAGAGTATTTTTTTTTACCAGAAATGTAATATTTCAGAGAAAACACACATGGTTGTTTATAGTAATGTCATTTTTAGTTCAGTTGTGTCATTTTATTTATCAGAATTTTTTTTTTTGTTATATGTGCCTGTTTAGCTAGAAGGTAGAAATGTCTTTTTTTTTTTGGGGAATAGTGTTTTTTTTTTTTGTAATATTGTCATTTTTTCCTCAGACGTGTCATTTTATTTACAGAAGATTTTTTTTGTCATGTGTGCTTTTTTTTGGCAAAATTGTTATTTCTCGTAGAAAAGAAACATAATTTTTGGTAGTATTGTCATTTTATTTACCAGAAGAGAATTTCTTTGTCATCTTATGTGCCTATTTTAGTTAGAAATTAAATTTGTTTCGTCACAATGTCATTTTTTTTATGAAAAAATCATTTTTCAGAGAGAAAAGGCATGGTTTTCAGTAGAGTATTGTCTTTTTTGGCTCAGATGTGTCATATTATTTACTTAAACAGTTTTTTGTGTTTCTTTTTACCAGAAATTTAATTTTTCCGAGAAAACAGACACATGGTTGTTTGTAGTAATGCCATTTTTGGTTCAGTTGTGTCATTTTATTTACCAGATTTTTTTTTTATTGTTAAATGTGCCTGTTTTAGCTAGAATGTAGAAATGTCTTTTTTGGGGAATGGTCATTTTTCAGAAAAAAAAAAAAGACTTTTTGTAATATTCTCATTTTTTGCTCAGATGTGTCATTTTATTTACCAGAAGATATTTTTTTGTCATATCTGTCTTTTTTTTTGGCTGAATAGTTGTTCTCACAGAAAAGAGACATAATTTTTGGTAGTAATGTCACTTTAGTTACCAGAAGAGAATTTTTTGTAATATTATGTGTCTATTTTAGTTAGAAATTAAATTTGTTTTGTCGCAATGTAATTTTTTTTATGGAATAGTCATTTTTCAGAGATAAAAGGCATGGTTTTGACTAGTATTATCTTTTTTGTAGTATTTTTTTTTTTACCAGAAATGTAATTTTTCAGAAAAAAAAAAAAACACATGGTTGTTTATAGTAATGTCATTTTTGATCAGGGTGTCATTTTATTTGTGTTTGTTATTATGTGCCTATTTAGCTTGAAGGTAGAAATGTCTTTTCTTAGGGAATAGTCGTCTTTAAAAAAAAAAGACATTTTTTTTGTGACATTGTAATTTTTTACTCAGATGTCATTTTATTTTTTTGTCATGCCTTTTTTTTAACTATATGTGTAATTTTTTGTTAAAAATGTATTTTTTTGGCAGAATAGTTTTCTTTCAGAGAAATAGACATAATTTTTGGTAGTATTGTCATTTTTTGCCCAGATGTGTCATTTTATTTACCAGAAGAGAATTTTTTGTCATATTATATGCCTTTTTTGGTTAGAAATGTGATTTTTTGTCACAATGTCCTTTTTTTATGGAATAATACTTTGTCAGAAATATTTTTTTATGGCTGAATAGCCATATTTTTTACAGAATATTCATTTTTTAGAGAGAAAAGGCATGGTTTGAGTAGTATTGTTTTTTTTTGCTTAGATGTGTCATATTATTTATTATTTACTGAAAGTGAGTATTTTTGTTTTGTCATTTTTGCCAGAAATTTCATTTTTTTGGCTGAACAGCCATTTTTCAGAAATAAGTGATTTGTCACTTTATTTATCAGAAGATACTTTTTGTCAGAAATGTTTTTTTTTTTTGAAAGAATAGCCATTTTTTAGACAGAAGAGTCATGGTTTTTGGTAATATTGTCATTTTTTGATCAGACATATCATTTTATTTACCAAAAGAGAAATTTTTTGTCAAATGTTCCTGTTTTAGCTAGAAACTGAAATAGTCATTTTTAGAAAGTAATTTGGTTTTTGGTAGTATTGTCATTTTTTGCTCAAATGTGTCATTTTATTTAAGATAAGATAAATTCTGTCATGTGCTTTTTTTCACTAGAAGTATGTTTTGTCAGATATGTAGTTTTTTTGGAGGAATAGTAATTTTTTAGAGAAAAGAGGCATGATTTTTGGTAGTATTGTCAGTTTTTGCTCAGATGTGTCATTTTATATAGCAGAAGGGACATATTTTTTTGTCATATGTGCCAATTTTTAGCCAGATGTGTAATTTTATTAGCAAGAAGAGACATTGGTTATGTGTCTTTTTGTCAGAACCGTAGTTTCTGTCAGAATTTTTTTTTGGCTGAACAGTCATTTTTGGCATTGTGCCTCTTTTAGCTAGAAGCATAATTTTTCGTCAGAATTGTCTTTTTTTAGAGAAAAGAAACAGGGTTTTTGGTAGTATTGTTTTTTTTTTGTTCAGATGTGTAATTTTATTAGCCAGAAGAGACTTTTTTGTCATGTGTCTTTTTTTGTCAGAACTTTCAATTTTGTCAGAAATCTTTTTTATTGCTGAACAATCATTTTTGGCATTATTATCATTTTTTGTTCAAATGTGCCATTTCATTTATCAGAAGAAAAATATTTTTGTCATGTGTCATTTTTTTAGTAAAAAATGTAATTTTTTACCAGAAAACTCTCATTTTGGTAAAAGTATAATTTATTGTCAGAAATAATTTTTTTTTTAGAGGAATAGTCATTTTACCAAAGAAAGACAAGGTTTTTGGTAGTATTGGCTTTTTTGCTCAGATGTGTCATTTTATTAGCAAGAAGGGACTTTTTTTTGTTATATGTGCCTTTTTGTCAAAACCGCCAGTTTCTGTTAGCATTTTTTTTTTTTGGCTGAACAGTCATTTTTGGCATTCCCTTTTAGCTAGGAGTGTAATTTTTTGTCAGAAATGTCTTTTTTTGGTAGTATTATCTTTTTTGTTCAGATGTGTCATCCTATTAGCCAGAAGATACATTTTTTTGTTATATGTGTCTTTTCTGTCAGAACTGTAATTATTTGGCTGAATTAACTTTTGGAATTGTTTTTGGTAGTATCATTTTTTGCTCTGATGTACCATTTTATTTACCAAAAGAAAAATATTTTTGTTAAATGTGCCTTTTTTAACTAGATGCGTATTTTTTTGTCAGAAATGTCTCATTTTGACAGAATGGTCATTTAGGTGGGAAAAGAGACATGGTTTTTGGTAGTAGTGTAATTTTATTAACCAGAAAATAATTTTTGTGCCATTTTTTAGCTAGAAGTGTAATTTTTGAACAGAAACGTCTGTTTTTTTAACAATATTGTAATTTTTTGTTCAAATGTGACATTTTATTTACCAGAAGAAATTTTTTTTTGTCATAAATACATTCTTTTAGCTAAAAGTGTATAAAAAATATCTTTTTTTTTTTTAGCAGAATAGATGTGGTTTTTAGTATGATTGTCAATTTTTGCTTAAATATGTCATTTTATTTACCAGAAAAGACAACTTTTTGTCATGTGCGCCTTTCAGCTAAAATGTGTTTTTTTTTTTGGTGGAATAATCAATTTTCTGAGAGAAGAGACATTGTTTTTCATAGTATTGTCTATTTTTATCCAGATATGCCATTTTTTCTCATAATGTGCTATTTTTGTCTAAAATATCTTTTTTTGTCTGAACAGTAATTTTTCAGTAAGAAGTAGCATTTTTTTGGTAGTATTATAATTCTTTTGTTCAAATGAGGGTTTTTAATTGGCAGAACAACACATTTTTGTTTTCTCCTGAATACTACTAACCTGTATATTGACGATTTTGCCGAACTTCCCGAAATGATTGTTCAAATGGGTGATGCTGTTCAATCCCTGCGGCACTTTTTTCAATTCCAGCGAACAATTTTGCGGATTCTTCGCGCGCGGTCCGAGCCGATTGAAGTCGAACACCTTCTTCTTGTACATGTTTTCGTGGTCCATGTTGTTGACGAAATTGCCGGGCGGGTGGTGATTGTACATGGGCGTGTACGTGTCCGGTTGTTTGTTATCCATCACTGGCACCGGTATCAATTCGCGATTGTGGTTGGGCGGGGGCGCGAACGGCCCCATGGGCGGTACCTAGAAAACCATCGATTGTATAGAGTTTATTTTTTTCAGAAACAAAACTATGGTCAATATAATAAGCCAATCGATAGAACGTTAAAATTGGCCAACATGAATTATTTAGAAATTTTTTGAATCAGTTTCGAGTCATATAAAACTTAGAAAGTAATAAGATGCATTTGAACTATTCCTAGAAAGAAGCGAAGGAAATAAATAAGATAGGGAGTAAATGGATGTATTATGTTTAAGGGGAACTGTTTATATTTTTGTTTTTTTTTTATTTTCTTTTTTACTGTCAAATCAAAATTTAATATGTATAATTTGTTTTTAAATGGGATCTTCCTGTAAAACAAATAAACATTTGAACTACTTAAAAGAAGCGTTCCGAAATCGACAATTTTTTCTTATAAAGTAATACGATGCATTTGAACTACTCCTCAAAAAAGCTAATTTAGCAAAAAACTTGTCCAACTAACACGTTACAAAAGAACTATTTATAAATCGATCATTATTTCATTAAAAATAATAAGATACATTTGAACTAATTCTTAAAACAGTTATTGTTTAATTATAAAGATGCGACAGTGATGAATTACAAATTAACTACTTCAATCGATCAGTTCTTTTCAGTTAAGGATAATAAGAAACATTTGAATTACTTCTTAAAAGCATATGTACACAAGAAACTGATCAAACTAATATTGTACAGAAAAACTACATTATAAATCAGCCATTATTTCGTTAAAAACAACAGGATGTACTTGAACTACTCCTTGAAACAAGTTATTTTTAATTACAAAAATGTAAGTGTTCTATTACAGGTAAAGTACTTAAATCATCCATTTTTTCTTTAAAAGTAACAAGATACATTTGAACTACTAGAAAGAAGCGAGTTTACACTAAAACATGTCAAATTAAAATGGTACATTTGAACTACTTCTTAAACTAACAATTTCTTGATTAAAAATAATATGGTTTATTTGAATTACTTCTCTAAAGCTTATTTTTCCAAAAGCTAGTCAAATTCCTATGGCATAGATGAACTACTCCTTAAAACAAGTAACTTTTTTAATTATAAAGATGTGACAGTGATGAATTACAAATGAACTACTTAAATGTTAAGAATAATAAAATGCTAATATACACTAAAAATATTTTTTACTTGATTATTTCTTGGTTAAAAATGATAAGATATATTTGAACTACTTCTTCAAAGCATATCTATAAAAAAAATTGAAAAACTAATATTGTACAGAAGAACTACATTATAAATCAGCCATTATTTCCTTAAAATTAATAAGATACATTTGAACTACTTGAAACAAGTTATTTTTTAATTACAAAAATGTAAATGTATTACAGGTAAAGTACTTAATTCGTCCATTTTTTCTTTAAAAGTAACAAGATGCATTTGAACTACTGGAAAGAAGCGAGTTTTCATTAAAACATGTCAAATTAATATGGTACAGGTGAACTACTTCTTAACCTAACCATTTCTCAGTGCGTTTGAACTACTCCTCTAAAGAAGTGAATTTTTTCAAAAACTAGTCAAATTACTATGATACAGATGAACTACTCCTTAAAACAAGTATCTTTTCAATTATAAAGATTTGATACAGTGATGAATTACAAATGAACTACTTAAATTGAACATTTTTTTCATCGCCTCTTTTGTACAAACCCTTGCACAATTTAAGTTTAATTTTTATTTAAATAAGAGATGCAATTTTTGTCTAAATTTCTACACAATTGTTATCTAATTATATGCGCAATTTTGTCTAAATATATGCACAATTTTTGTCCTGAAGTTCTCAGAGAATGATACAGACCCCAAACTAAATTATCATAATTTTTGTCTCAAAATCTGGGCACTTCTGTCCAAAAATTGAGTAATTTTTTTAGCTAAATGTTACAAGATGCATTCGAACTACTTCGAAAATGAAGCGATTTATACTAAACTCATCAAGTTGATACACGCAATTTTATCTAAATATAAGCGCATTTTTTTTCCAAAAACCTTCCCCCTTTTAAAAACATTTGAACTACCCTAAGAAAAATGCTAATTAACACTAAAGCTAGTTAAATTAATATGGTACAGGTAAACTACTTCTTAAACTGACCATTTTATGGTCAAAAATAATAAGATATGTTTGAACTACTCCTCTAAAAAAATCGTATTTTGATAAGGTACATTAGAACTATTTCTTTAAAGCGTATTTATAAAACAAACCAGTCAAAGTACTATGGTACAAAAGAACTACTCCTAAAATCATTTTTTTTTTAATTATGAAGATAGCACAGTGTGATACAAATGAACTACTTAAATCGACCATATTTTCGTTATATGTCATCTTATTACATTAGTAGTTTCTTTTAATTACATATAAAGATGCAACAGTGATGAATTACAGGTGAACTACTTAAATTGACCATTTTTTTTGTGAATTGTAATAAGATACATTTAAACTACTCCTAGAAAGAAACGAGTTTACATTAAAACCTGTCAAATGAGTATGGTACAGGTGAACCAATTTTTAAATTAATAATTTTTTGATTAAAAATTATAAGGTACAATTGAACTACTTATCTAAAGAAGCGTATTTGCAAAAAAAACTGGTCAAAGTAATATAATACAAAAGAACTAGTTTTTTCTAATTATGAATATACCAATAGTGATAAATTAATAATAATAATGATGACTTTATTGCTTTCAATACATACAAATTATTACACAAAATTATATAGATATACATAAATACTGAAAGACAAAAGGCGACTTTCGCACTTACTGGCGAGTTCAAATATTGAGCCAGCAAATAAGCAGCTCTCTTATAAATGAACTACTTAAATCAACCATATTTTCGTTAAATGAAATAAGATGCATTTGAACTACTCCTAGAAAGAAACGAGTAAAACCTGTCAAATTAATATGGTAAATTGAACTATTTTTAAAATTACCATTTATTGGTTAAAAATGAAAAGATACGTTTGAACTACTCCTTTAAAGAAGCATATTTGCCAAAAAACTAGTCAAAGTAGTATGGTATAGAAGAATACAGTACATAAAAACAGGTAGTTTTTTAATTGCATATAAAGATCGCTTTGTGTGAATTATAATAAGATTCATTTGAACTACTCCTAAAAAGAAGTGAATTTATACTAAGAAACTATCAAATTAATATGGTACATGAAAACTACTTCTCAAATTGGCATTTCTTGGTTAAAAATGTTAGACATAGGTTTTTTTTTATTTCATTTGTGAGATGTACCCAATATTCCTTTTTTTTTGTTAAATGTAATAAGAACTACTCCTAGAGAGAGGAGAATTTACATTAAAACTTGTCAAATTAATATGGTAAAGGTAAATTGGCTATTTCTTGTATATAAATAATAAGATACATTTGAACTACTAAGTACTTAAAACTTGTATTAAAAAATAATTAACTAAATATATAAAAAATAAAAATATAAATGATCAAAAATACCTAGTTAACGTTAATAATTATATAATTTTTATCTAAAGCAAAAACAAAAAATGTATAATTTATATTTCATTTTAGCAGTAAGTTTTAAATTTTAAACATTTAATGATTTAATTTTTATTATTTACTTTATTGTATTCCTACTAACAAAGATTCATTCATTCTCTAACGTAGAAAAAGTTCTAGCACTTACTCTCGCTATCCCCATAGGTCTGGGCCCTCGGAAGCGTCCGTCCCTCCAAATGTGCGGCGCCTGCGGATTGTACGGGTGGTCGTGTTGCAGCGGCATCCGCTGCCCCATCATCGGATGACCTGGAGCATTTAGAACTGGTGTTGGTATAACGCCGGATGATACGACGGCCGGCGTACCATTCGGGTTATAAGTTAGTACGCGCGTTAGGGCTGTATCCTCTAGCACAACTGGGTCGATGCCGTGGTCGAAAGGGCACATTTCGCCGCGCATACAGTACCCTAAAACATCCCAAGCATATGATGCGGAATTTAGAAACAAAAAAAAAAAAAAACAAAAATGCGAGATGTAAATGTTTAATCTGATGACGTGCAGTTTTTTGTTAAGGTGATATCAACGTTTAATTCATTATAGTCAAGCGTTTGATGGTAAAAATAGGCTATTATTACCTCAGAATTCTTTCAGACTACACTGATTTGGATGAAAATTTAAAATTAAAAAAGGAGCGCTAAAAAAGGAGGGTGAAAAAAGGAGGAAAAAAAAAGGAGGGCAAAAAAAAGAGGACAAAAAAAGGATGGCAAAAAAGAGGACAAAAAAAGGTATGAAAAAAAGGAAGGCAAAAAAATCAGCGCACGAAGGGTGCAAAAGAACGCGGAAAAAGCGAGAAAAACGAGCGCCCGAAGGGCGCAAAAAGTTGTCAAAAAAAAAACTACTCTTTGACAAATCTTAATTGGATTAAAAAAACTGCATAAATGATGTTATGAAGATGAATTAATTCCATAAACCATTTATAAGCAGAAAACCACCAAAAAATATTAAGAAACATTTGAACTACTCTTAGAATAACTTGCAATTGGATAAAAAAAACTGCACTAATAAAACTGATACTAATTCTGCAAGCTAGGTACTACTATATATAATTAAAAAAATATACCAAAAATAATTAGGTACATTTGAACTACCCTTTGACAAATCGTAATTGGATTAAAAAAAAATCGCATAAATGATGATATGATGATGAACTAATTCCATAAACTACTATTTATAAGCACCAAAAAATAATAAGAAACATTCGAACTACTCTTAGCATAACTTGTAATTGGATAAACAAAAACTGCACTAATGAAATTGATGTTATAAATATGAATTAATTCTGCAAGCTAGGTACTACTATATATAATTAAAAAAAATACCAAAAATAATAAGGTACATTTGAACTACTCTTTGACAAATCATAACTGGATTAAAAAAATCGAATAAATGATGTTATGAAGATGAACTAATTTCACAAACTACTATTTATAAGCAGAAAACCCCCAAAAAATAATAAGATACATTTGAACTACTCTTAGAATCAATTGTAATTAGATAAAAAAAAACTGCACTAATAAAGTTGATGTTATAAAGATTAACTAATTCTGCAAGCTAGGTACTACTATATATAAGTAAAAAAATACCAAAAATAATAAGGTACATTTGAACTACTCTTTGACAAATCGTAATTGGATTAAAAAACTGCATAAATGATGATATGAAGATGAACTAATTCCACAAACTAATATTTATAAGCAGAAAACTTCAAATACGACAATTCTACAAGTAGAATCCTATCAAAAATAATTTAATACATTTAAATAACTCTGAAAAAATCGTGATAAAAACATCTGCAATTATAAGTAGAAAATTCCCAAAAAATAATAAGGTATAATTGAACTACTCTTTGAAAAAGGAGCTGATTTTAAAGGTCTTTTTTTAAGCATTTTAAAAAGCTCTCAATTTGTTATTTTACATTGAAAAGTTTTAATTCAGTTTTTAATTACATAAAAAAAAATATTTTTGGTAAAATTGAACTACTTTTTGAAAAATCGTCTATTGAATAAAAAAACTGTAATAATAATGTGACGAAGATGAATTAATTTCAAAAACTACTATTTAAAAGTAAAAAACTACCAAAAAAATAGTATGGTACATTTGAACTAATTTTTGTAAAATTGTAATTGAATAAAAATCTATAATAATAATGTTATAAAGATGAACTAAATCCACAAGCTACTTATAAGCAGAAAACTACAAAAAAATAATAAGGCACATTTGAACTACTGTTGTATAATCTCGATTCATTTATGCATCAACCGCTATTCTCAGCGTTTCAATTTCCTTCAAATAACAAGTGAATGGTTTTTCTTGTCAAATTCTTACCTACAACTTGTAAAATTTATACTTTTTCGTTAAAGGTTTTATGATACTTTGTTATCGAATTCTTAAAATTGTTTAAAAGTTATATATATAAGTAATATGTGAACTTTGAATTAACGACCTCAACTTCAAACCAGCAGTTTCACTCTTAGTGATAATGTATTACTGGAATCAGTCTACATATAGGTAATTCTTGATCTATGGCTTAGATATAATCGGCAGGAACTTTAGGCCTTATTTCCCAAAATTTCATGTCAATCAGTTAAGTCCGAAAGAATTTGAACCCAAAAATCATCAAACACTGGACTATAGTAAATAATGCATATTAGTTGTAAATGTACGTTTATTTGGAAAAAATAAATATTTATTTTAGAGAATTAAACTGCAAGACAGTATTATACTTAAAAAAAACTGTTTATTAGTGGCATTGAACTAATTATTTTATGGAAATAAACGTCCATTTACTGCAGGTAAGCGTAAACAAATAAGAATTTATTTAATCCCTTTAGTACATATAAATGAAAGCTGCAAAATATTTATTTTAAAACCAATTAAAAAACAATATCTCAAAGCACTGAACGTTTATTTACTGGTTATAACTCAGCGTTTACTGTAAACTGTTCATTTGTGGATATGTGGAGATAAAATGTAACACAGATGAAAAAAAAAAAAAAAAAAAAAGTTAGTGAATGCAAATTAATAATTGAGTGAGAAAGTGGATAAATGACTTAAATTGCAGAAATATATTTTTTGAGTAGGTAATGAATGATTTTTAGTGAAAAATGTCTTTAAAATTCGGTTTTATGAGTTGCTAAGAAGGATTATGAACTAATTAGGCACCCATACCAGACGAGTGCAATACATATGTGCTTAATTCCCTCATCAATAAATAATCAGGATTTTTTTTTAATTTTACAATTCCTCGTTTAATTGAAACCTCTACAACTAACGGTGAAAGAATAGATAATATTCACAGATAGGTTCAAAATGGGTCAATGTCAAAATTAATACTTCATAATAAAAATAAACATTGTTAATTTCTTTTGGTACCTTTTTCGTCGAAATCTCTGCACCTCTTTTTGCCGCCGCCAGCTGGTACAACGACGCTGGGCACGGTCTGTGATCCCGGTCTGACTCCGTCCAGATCAGGGGGATTGGCGTCCGGCGTAGGTGTCGCCGGTCTGGAGCTGTTGTCTTTCTCTTTATCTTTGAGAGAATCTCTACGGTCTCGTTTTTCCAACGATCTGGATCTACTGCGGCTTGCTGATGACCTGTTTCTGTACCTGTCAGCGAAAATGGTATTTGTAGAAAACTACCAAAAATAGTAAGGTACATTTGAACTACTCTTTGAAATATCGCAAATGAATAAAAATATGCAATAATGATGTCGAATTGCTTCTTCAAAGGTGACACAAGTAAAAAAATGAAAATTGTAAGCAAATGAAATTAAAAATAGTTAAAATGATTTTATAATTTACTGTTTTTAGTGAAATATCTTAGTCATTATTATAAAATTTTGTATAAAAACGTTGACCTTTTTTAAGTTGTGCCGTTTTTTATCATTATCATTATAAAAAATATTGATAACATTAATAAAAACTGTAAAGTGGTGGTATAGAAACATTTACTCTTTATTTATTGTAAATAAAAATTGTTATTTAACAGAAGAAAAAAAACTGCAAACACAAAAATAATAATGCTATAAATCACAAACAATAAAAATAATTTCGAAAACATTACAATAATAAAAAAAATTTTAATGTGTAAAGAAAAACTCGAGAATTTTAAAAACATTAGCGACGTCTATCTCATAGTTGTAACGAACTTGTGATATTTTTTCAGAAGAAAATTATAAGATTTTTATTAAATTTGCTGATATAAAACAAAAACTGGTGCTTTTTGAGGAGGCGGTGCAATGTTAAACAGATGAATTAATTCCACAAGCTATTACTTAGGAATAAAAATTACCAAAAATAATAAGGTACATTTGAACTACTCTTAAAAAAATCGTAATTAGATTAAAAAATTCAATAATGATGTTATGAAGATGAAACTAATTCCACAAGCTACTATTTAAAGTAAAAACTACCAAAAGTAATAAGATACATTTGAACTACTCTATAAAAAATCGCCTTTTAAATAAAAAACTAAAATAATGTTATGAAGATGAACTAAATCCACAGGTAACTATTTATAAGCAGAAAACTAGCAAAACATAATAAGGACATTTGTACTCTATGAAAAATCCCAATTTTATAAAAAACTGCAATAATAATGTTTTGAAGATGAACTATTTTCTTAATCTAATATTTATAAGAAAACCACAAAAATAAATACGGTACATTTGAACTACTCTTTGAAAAATCGTAATTGGAATAAAAAACTGCAATAATGATGTCATGATGATGAACTAATTCCACAGGGTACTATTTATAAGTAGAAAAATACCAAAAAGAATATGGTACATTTGAACTACTCTTTGAAAAATCGTCTATTTAATAAAAAAACTGCAATAATAATGCTATGAAGATGAACTCATTCCACAAACTACTATTTAAAAGTAAAAACTTTAAAAAATATGGTACATTTGAACTACTCTTTGAAAAATCGTAATTGGAATAAAAAACTGCAATAATGATGTCATGATGATGAACTAATTCCACAGGGTACTATTTATAAGTAGAAAAATACCAAAAAGAATATGGTACATTTGAACTACTCTTTGAAAAATCGTTTATTTAATAAAAAAAAACTGCAATAATAAGGCTATGAAGATGAACTCATTCCACAAACTACTATTTAAAAGTAAAAACTTTAAAAAATATGGTACTTTTGAACTACTTTTTGAAAAATCGTCTATTTAATAAAAAAAAAAAAACTGCAATAATAATGCTATGAAGATGAACTCATTCCACAAACTACTATTTAAAAGTAAAAACTTTAAAAAATATGGTACATTTGAACTACTTTTTGAAAAATTGTAATGGAATAAAAATCTGCAATAATGATGTTATGAAGATGAACTAAATCCACAAGCTACTATTTATAAGCAGAAAACGACCAAAAAATAATAAGGTACACTCGAACTACTCTCTGAAAAATCGCAATTATATAAAAAACAGCAATAATAATAATAATAATAATGATGTGTTGAAGATGAACTATTTCCACAATCTACTATTTACAAGTAGAAAATTTACAAAAAATTATAGGGTATATTTGAACTACTCTTTGAAAAAACATAATTAGAATTAAAAAAACTACAATAATGATGTCATGATGATGAAATAATTCCACAGAATACTATTTATATAAGAAAAATACCAAAAAAGAAAATGGTACATTAGAACTAATCTTTTAAAAATCGTCTATTGAAGACAAAAACTGCAATAATGATGTTATCAAGATGAACTAATCCCAAACTACTATTTAAAAGCAAAAACTACCAAAAAATAATATGGTACATTTGAACTACTTTTTGAAAAGTGTAATTGAATAAAAATCTGCAATATTGACGTTATGAAGATGAACTAAATGGACAAGCTACTATTTATAAGTAGAAAACTAACAAAAAAAATAAGGTACATTTGGACTACTCTATGAAAAATTCAAATCTTATAAAAAACTGTCATAATTTTTTGAAGATGAACTATTTCTAGAATCTACTGTTTATAAGTTAAAAACTACAAAAAAAATTTACGGTATATTTGAAAAATCGTAATTAGAATAAAAACTGCAATAATGATGTCATGATAATGAACTAATTCCAGACTACTATTTATAAAAAAAAAAAAAAAAAATACCAAAAACAATATGGTACGTTAGAACTATTATTTTAAAAAATTGTCTATTGAATTAAAAAACTGCCACAATGATGTTATGAAAATGAACTATTCCCAAACTACTATTTAAAAGAAAAAACTATCAAAAAATAATATGGTACATTTGAACTACTTTTTAAAAAAAATTGTATTTGAATAAAAATATGCAATAATGATGTTATAAGGATGAACTAAATGGACAAGCTACTATTTATAAGCAGTAAACTACCAAAAAATAATAAGGTAAATTTGAACTACTCTTTAAAAAAACGCAATTTAATAAAAAAACTGCAATAATAACAATGTGCTGAAGATGGAACTATTTTCAAAATATAGGTACCATTTATAAGTAGAAAACTACCTAAAATAATATGGTATATTTGAACTACTTTTTGAAAAATTGTATTTATACTAAAAAACTGCAATAATGATGAACTAATTCCTCAAGCTACTTTTATAAGTGAAAAACTACCAATGGTACATTTGAACTATGAAAAATCGTCTAATTAATAAACAACTGAAATAATCATGTTATAAAGATGAACTAATTCTACAAACTATTTAAGAGTAAAAATTACAAAAAATTAGTATGGTACATTTGAACTAATTTTTGAAAAATTGTTATTAAATAAAAATCCAAAAGCTACTATTTATAAAATAAAATACATTTGAACTACTCTTTGAAAAATCATAATCAGATTAAAAAACTTCAATGATGATCTTATGAAGATGAACCAAGTCCGCATTATACTATTTTTAGGTAAAAAGCTAGCAAAAATAATAAAGTGCATTTTAAAACACAAAAATGACATTACACATGAATTACTTTCCTAATTAAGTCATTTATGACTTAAAAATGGCCAAAACTAAACAGGTAGATTTGAACTAGAGCTTAAAAATTGTTATTAAATTAAATTCACATGAATTATTTTTATAATCTACCATTTATGACTAAAAAATAAGGTACTATTCAACTACTTCTTGAAGTTATATATAAAAAGAGAAAAATGAAGTAGTCAATATGAATTAATTTTTTAATCTAATATTAATTTGAGTAGTTCAAATGTACCTTTTTTAAGTACATTTGAATTACTAAATGAAAATTGTTATTATTTAAAAAGAAACAGGCAAAAAAAGATGTACACATGAATCACGTTCCAAATTTACCATTTATTAGTAGAAAACATACCAAAAAAACAATAAGGTATAAACTCACCTGATTCTATGAGTATGCCTAGGACTTCTAGACCTTGATCTGACCCTTATAGGTGATGGAGTTCTTGACAATCTTCTTCTGTCATACCTCCTGGGTGGTGATTTATTCCTCCACACCCTAGGTCTGTCTAGTCTATCAGGTCTATCCAGTCTATCAGGTCTATCTGGCCTATCCCTCTTCTCCCTATCTATCCTGTGTTGGTCTCGATCCAGGCGATCCCTTGATTTCTCCCGTGACCTAGATCTTTTCGCCCTATCCCAAGACCTCGATCTTGATCTACTACGTGACCTGGACCTGTGTCGAATCGGCGACCGCCTCCGTGGCGGTCGGTCTAGAGTAGGCGGTCGATCTACAGTTGGGGGGCGCTCTTCACGTTCCTATTCAAGACATTTAAATTTAAAAAATTGAACAAAATCAATAAAAAAACTATTAAAACTTACAGCGTCTGAATTTTTTCTTAGTTCTCTATCTCGTTTCACTTCGGGCTCCTTCAGATCCTTTTTGGTGTTGCCATTCACCACCTCATTCAAATTTGGCAATTCGCTGGGCTGCACTATGACCTTTGCGGCCTCTTTAGCAGCTGGTTTGGCAGCAGCAACATTTGGATTGGGTGGATTGGCGTTTGGTATCACTGGGACATTTATGTAATCTTTAGTGGCTAGAGTTTGGAACACTAGGTCCACAAACGCTTCTGTTTCTGCAACTCAAATTAAATTGTATACCAAAAAGTACTACAGTGATATTATTAGTTTAATACTAATAAATGATCTACAAATTACAATTTTACTTATAATATCAATGAAATAGTATCAAGATTTTCAAGTTCAATTATATTACCAGTTTCTCTACATACAATTACATGTCTTTTAGGTTAAATGTTTCTAAAATATCATTTGCAAGAATTAAAAAGAAAAATTACATGTACATCATAAGTAATAATGAATAAATATCCCAAAAATTGATCAAAATTACACACAAAAAGTTCATAAAATCTAAATTGATTGATTTAATTTAGAAACCATTGCTACCTACCATTTTGAATCGAGAAATGTTAAAAATAGGATACATACCTCCTTCTAAAAAAACATCTAGCTGTCCGATCATAGATTTTCTAAGTTCATCTTCTGATTTATCCTTCTTAATCAAAGCTAATACATATTTAGCCAATGCAGCTGGGTCGGCTTCACACCTACAAAATGAATAATTAAAGTAATAATTACTACACTTAATCTACAGATATTCAAATAACCATATCAGCGTTTATGTATATTAGTTTGCAACTTTTATAAGCCTAAAGTAAATAATAACGTTACGAGGTAGCTAAAAAATAATTTAAAAAGATCGAAAATGGGGGTCATCTTACATGGGCTTCAAAACAGCTGTTAACCATGTTTTGAAGGCATCTATTTGATCTACTATCATTCTGAGGCGTTAATTGACATTTATTCGATAGAAATGCGATGAAAAAATAAGATTTTGTACGGATATTCACTAATTTTTTGTAAAAATTGCTGACAAAATAGCAAAACTTCAATCACCTCTCGCTGTCTAAGAAAGTTGTGCTACCAACCGAATGAGCGTCAAACAAAAAAAATTACTAGTTTAATTATAGCAGACCACCAACCAAGAAAATTAAAGTTCCTAAAATAGTTGACGGGATTCAAAATATGAAATTATTAATAGAAATCCAAATAAAATCAATCCTTTGGTAGATTTTATAAATCCAACCCCTGTCATGGTGTATTTTCGTTTATTTAACTTCAAATAGGCCCATACCAAGCAATAAATTAAGCCCATTTCATTGGGTAAAAACATGTTTTTTTTATTGCGCACATTCCCATAGCTAATTAAATAAGAAACTAGTAATTAATTTTGTACTACTTTGTTTACAACAAATTATTCGCCAGAAAATTATACAGGTGATGTAATTTAATGGTCAAGTGTTAAGGTAACCCAAAACAAGTTTCGTAATGATTTTTTCGCCAAGCATAATGAAAATTAACTTGGACCGTTAAGGTCAAATGAAATAATCCTCATACATTCTTCATGCGTTTTTTTCACATACAAGATGTATTATCCAGCAGTTATAAACTTTATTTTTATTTAAAATACATATGAACGAAGTTTTGTTTATTTTGTAAAAATTGTTTGTGTTATTTCTTGTTAAAAAAAACTCTTTTTATTATTGGTAAGTTACCTACCTATTTATATCTAGGAAAAAAAAATTGTTTTTATTGCGCTATTATGTGTATTATTTTAATAGTAATTAATTGTTTATCTAGTAAAATAAAATAGTTATTGAAATTAGTTATAATCCCTCATTAATTTGCGATTAAAACTTTTCAACATTTTTTAAACTGCTTGTGGCTAATATTCCGAACAGAGTTAAAACTTCAAATTACTTCTATGACTGTATACTAATAAAATCAATATAAATACTTATAATGATTAATAATTAGCAAAAAATGTGTTTTTTAATATTTTAATGTCGAAATTTGATTATCAAATCGGGTAAATTGGTAGCTAACTATTTTTGCCAACTTGATTGGAACATTAGACATAATTTGATATTTGTGAGGTTAGATTTTTTAGAGACAAGTTTGTATATTTTCTAGTTTTAAATTTATTTATCTAGAAATTTAGGGCATTTCAGTTTCTTATCTAAACTCTTATCGTTTTACATTACATAATAGAATGGGTGACACAGATGCCGATGCTAAACAGCAAACTATAGATGAAGAAATTGAAAACTTGTCTCACGAAGATTTGTTGGAGATAACTCAAAGTAGCATTCGAAGGCTTATCACTTCTGATCCTTTACTGAGCGATTTGCCTCCTGACGTTACTTTTGAAGAGGTCGTAGCTCAGATTGCTGTCGCACAAGGACAATCCATAACTGTTATTGTCGACAGGTATTCTGAGTCTCCCCTGAATGTTGTGGTAAGTAACTACCAGTTTTTGCCTAATTGTAATGTTGTTACCATTTTTTTTGTTTTAACGGTTTTTTGAGCGCCTATTTTAAATAAAAAAAGAACTAGTATTAAAAAAAAATGAAATAAAATACTTATTTTATTCAAAATTAACAAAAGTTGTAATGTAACGTGAAATAATTTAAGTGTAAACACATGGTGGTGCATTTTGAGTTGCACATTATTTAATTTTTTTTGCAGTGACACATTTTGGTATTTAAAATTGACTATTAGCAGACTCCTACAAACATTTATGAATCCATGTCACTCTAAATTGAAATTCTATTTATAAAGCTGATTAAAGTTAGATTGATGTTACGGTTAAGAAATCTGACTATCCATTTCCAACAAATCTTTCATCATTATTTGATGCCTCTGCCCCCCGTTAGGCATTTTGCAAAGGGACTTAAAATTAAAAGTCTGCAGAATAGTATATTACATTAAGTGTGGAAAGTGATATAAGTCAAATGTGACAATTACACAAAAAGAAAAATCACTTTTACACAAGTGATGTACAATATTTTTCAAAAATAATGTTATTAAAAAAATGTAAAACCAGGAAATGTGGCCATAAAGGTTCCATCAAGATGTGGCTGGTTTTAGATTTGGTTTTTTATATGCCTTGTTGAATAATATTTAAAATGTTTTACAGATGGTGTTTCCTTAAAATTAAAAACATTGTGATTCAATTTACAAACAATTTCATAGGATAAACATAAAAAACATTGGGTACAAAAAAAAAATAGAATACAATAATGTAAATCATTAGTTCTTTTTTTTTTAACAAATAAGATGAACAACTTTTTTAATATTAATGATTACTCACTTATTTGAACAGTAATTAAAAGAGTACAAAATAATTAGCAGAAAGATTAACTGTGGGGGTTATATTATGATAAATAACATGTAAAACAGTTGTATTTTTCTATTTTCATATTTTTCCTAGTAAAAAAATAAAAAAGTGCTTTATCGGGAATTGAACCCGCATCGCGACATTGTCGCGACATGCGGAGTTGAAAAAGTTGCATTACATTTTTTGCTTTAAGAATCTTTATTCAAATATTTACAATTATCTACATCCTCACTTTAAAATACCTTCTTCATACATCTCTTGGTACATTCTGATTGAGTTTCTATGTCACTGAATGTATAGCAGTCCCCTTAACCCTTGGATATTATATTGCTTTTATGTGTGTTGTAACGGCCCACCCCCGGTACCCCCTATTTGTTCGTTGTTTTACTCACTGAAATATTATTTACCTCACAAGTTTATTTTACTTTAAATTCTATACTTACTGTATTTGGCCTTTTTCCTTAAATTGTAGAAGTGATTGTCTAGTTAATTAATTGATAATTTATATACCCACATTGTGATAATCTTAATTAAGGTAAACCAGGATTCGATGCAAAGCTTGGTGCAAATTGATAAATAAAACCATACAAAATTATATTTAAACCCTTTTATTATTTTCATTCTTTAAATGTAATTCAATAACTTGCAAAGTATATTACAATTGGTACTATTTACTGAAGTATCACCTGAGTCCCATTCAAACACAGTCCATATTCATTGGCTATCAATATATATTTGATTTAGGTTAATGACCAACGGAGCTAACGAACAGCATTAATTCGCCAGTTGGTTAACTACTGTGTTGTTGTTTATATTCTTATTTAAGTAGATGACCAACGAAGTTAACGAACAACGCCAATTCGCCAGTTGGTTAACTATTGTGTTAATGTTGATTTGATTCTATTCTAGATATACACAGGTTGCACCCTCCTAGGTAAATATTTTGATGAGTATAGAGGTGATGACCAACGGAAGTAACGAACAGCGCCAATTCGCCAGTTGGTTACTTTACTATGTTGATTTCACATATACTTTGTTTCAAACCTTGTAGAATGGGTTGCTTATCATATAGGTGTCCCCCATTGAGCTAACAAACAGTGTATTCACAGTTGGTTAACTTACTATTAAATTTTACCATCTTGGTTTGTACAATTTATCCAAGATAGCACATCCCTGTATATTTGTAAAATATTGATTTTTATAATTTTTATTGAAATGACTTAATATAACCTTGTATATTTCTTAATATTGATTTTTATTGAAATTACCTAATACAACCCTGTATATTTCTTAATATTGATTTTTATAATTTCTATTGAAATACTCAAAATGCATCCATCGAAAACAGATGTTATCCTAACTGTCTTTCGGGTGTATGACCTGAAGGCCATGTGGTTTAATGTTCACATTGATAATATTTCAAAGCACATGTCAGGCCCTACGTTTAAACAAGACCCTGGTGGCATCTCAAAGACAGTCACTATTGAAATTACAGACATTTGGGTTGTCTAAACTAGACATGATGTACGTCGCAGCGTTGAGCGTCGCCTTGCGTTGAGACGTCTAGCGTCGTGACGGGGAGGAAGGTATTTATTTCGTGACTGTGTCGGGACAGATATATGGTAGGAAACACTTAGGTGGTGCTACGCGACGAAACGCGTCGACAAGGATATTACGATGGAAATATTTAGGGACGGCAAGCGTCGAGAAGTATAGCGATGGGACGTTGGGCGTCAAAATGAATATAATGTAGGAGATACTTAGATGGTGCGGAATGTGAAAGCGTTCTGACGTAGAAAGGTAGGAAAGTAGGGCGTCCGGACGTCGAGCGTGGAGACGTTGGGCGTCGGGATGAAAAACGCCCAGCGTCATGGCGGAGAGGAAGGTATTTATTTCTGTATTGCTTCGGGACGGATATAAGGTAGGAAATAATATGGTGTGGGACGTGACAGCGTTCTTAGGTTGTAGGGGCGAAGAAAGGTAGGGAAGTAGGGCGGCGGGACGTGAAAACGTTTGATAGGTCATCGGGACGTAGGAGCGTCGATAGGAGGTAGGGTAGGAAAAGCATCGGTCAAGAAGAGCGTGGATTTAGGAAAGGTACTGAATAATGAACTTGAAATATAACTAAATTTGAAAAGCAACTGAATTAGACTGGATTTAAAATAAGAATGATTATCGAGTTCCTCGGGATATACCTGTTTTAATGCCCTTTTGTGACCTCAATTTGTCGTAAATCCGGTTGGAACGAATTTGGGTGGATAAAAAAAGGGTGGTAGATTTATTGCATGTGTTGAGAAATTTTCGGAATTTTATGTCGATATCATGTCCAAATCAATGTTAATATGTGAACCGACTTAAGATAAGCGCTATAACTGTTTTAATGATTATTTCATCGTGAAAAAAATTAGTTCTATTTTCATGCTTTTTACTTCGTGAAAAGAAATATGTTTATTGAAGGGAGTTTGGTCGAATTCTCTAAAAGATTTTTCGTAAAAATAAAAAAAATTGATTTCAATAAGAATGTTACTTTTCTTTAAAAAAATGGAATTAACAAATTATGTAGGTACCTGGGTCAGATAGGTCACAAAAATAAAAATGCTATTATTTATCGATTCTACACAAGAATAAATTTTAATGTATATTTAATCTCAATAACTAAAAAATATACTGACAGTTAGTTTGACAGAATTGTCACTTATTTAAAAATTTTTAAAATAATAATAATAGCCGGGTGACCAAAATATGAATTGTGATTGGTGGATTTTATATTTGTGCAGTGATTTTACTAGGTACAATGGATATGAAATATATTCGTTCAGTTGAAGGCAATGGCTTACTTTTTCGTTTTTCGTGTAAAAAAATATGTTGTCACGAACATCATTGCATAATTTGCGCAGTTTTGGGTAAGACATTTTCCAAAGTGACTGAAAATTATAAGCTTTTTGCAGAAATGAATTCTTTTGGCTGAAATAATCTGAAAACGAATACTTGGAGATTTGAAAAGAAGCTTGTCGCAGCTTGGGATCGAACCCAGACACCCATGTTAGCTAGACATTTAGACATGCGCCCTTTCCACTAAATAATCCACGACATCGACTGTCGAGATTCCTAGACAGAAATTTGATGTGTTAGTTATGACCAGACGGTATTCAAGTTCGTTTTCAAATTATTTTGTTTATAAAATTCCGTATTATTTAATATGCCTGTGACATCATACTTAAATTTTGATCAGCAATCAACTGCTGATTTTTATGAAAAAGGCAGAAAATCCGAGAAAACTTCAGATTGAAAGAAAAGTCGACAGGACTTTTGAAATGTCGTCAAAAGCTATACCCAGACATTTGGTCACCATAAATTAGCTTGACCCATGTAATTTCTTATTAACAATAGGTTCCCGACATTCACCAAATTGGTTATTCGTTTTTTAAAATAGTTGGACTTTGCTCATATGCTTACAATATTAAGTAAAATCGATTGAAGCAAGATCAAGACAGCTAATATGTTTTTATTCGTCCTTGTAGCGATATATTTATTTACATTTAAAAGTTTTTTTTAAGTATTTGAGATTTCACAGATTGCTAGGCCACTTGTGAGGTGAGGTTTGTGGATGATATACGTAAGTAGTGAAATGTGTGTTTTAATTTTTTCGCGATATTTTCGTTTATTAGTGTACTAGTAACATTTGGATCTTTCATGGAAAGAATATCTAAAATAATTATAAATTATTTTTGACAGTAGGTATTTTAGTTTGATTTGCAAATAATTACGAGGGTCGTGCTGAAATTATTTCTATTTACTATTGGAAAATCTATTTTTTTTACTGTAAGGGAACAGAAAAGTATGTCAAAGAAGAAAGTAGAGCACCTAGGGAATTTTTAGTTGAAACCTCTGCTTCATTTTAAATACCCTATAACAAAATTTTATAGACCACCTTAGTTTTTAATTTTTTTTTCTAAAAACATTTTTAGGCTTTTGAAATAATATAGAACAATCGAAATAAAATAGCTATTTTCTTTGATAGCTTTGAACGAAATTTTTAAGATTTTTTCTAAGAATAACCATATTTTTAGGCAAAAATTTAAAAAAAAATCACCCAACATACTCATCACATAAGTTAC